TTGTATTAGCTCGCGGTCTAAAGTAAGTGTTGTCAGGATGTTTTCAAAACAAGAACAACGATGTTGGATATAAATTGATGTGCTAGAGGTCGTACAGCACGACAGTGTCATCTAGGGCTTCAAGAGGCTTGCGGGGAATCTGCATTGCCTTACAGAACCGTAGCAAGATGGGTGAAAGCATTCAAGGAAGGATGCCAAATTGTGGCAGACATGCTGCGGCCAGGTCATCCGAGTGTCAGTGATGCAGATGTGCAAGCTGTTGCCGTACTAATGGACAGTGATCGCCGCCAAACGATTCGTCAGCTGGCCGGACAAACAGGATTAGCACATACGACTGTGCTGCACATTCTGAAGGAACGCCTGTCCATGAGAAAAATTGCTTCACGATGGGTTCCACATCAATCAACGGAAATGCAGAAATGGCTATGATACGATGCTGCCTGAACCCACCTGGAGTGCTATGAGCGAGAAGGAGATACTTTTTTACGCCATATCATTACACTGGATGAGACTTGGGCCCGATCGTACCAGCCAGAACTGAAACGCTAATCAAACGAATGGCGTCATCACGGGTCACCCCGACGTTCGAAATTTCATCAGAACCCCAGCAATGTGAAAGTTATGGTGATTCTCATGTACGACTGTGATGGTGTCATCCTAGCGCATACCGTTCCCCCACAGCAGACCGTCACTGCGCAGTATTACTGCTCATTTTTGGAGCACAATCTCCGACCAGCTTTGAGAAAAAAACGGCGACACTTTCTGCAGAACGCTCCTCTCATTTTGCATGACAATGCTCAGCCACATGCAGCACAGCTGTGACTGATTTGTTCAAGCGATGGGGCTGGGAAGTGCTTTACCATCCACCGTACTCCCCAGATCTAAACCCTTGTGACTATGACTATTCCTAAGATGTAGGAACCATTTCGTGGCACTCGCTTCCAAACTCTTCCTGAGATTCTTGCGGCAGTAGACCGGTCCATTCAAACTATCAACAAAACAGGCGCTGCTACAGGTATTCTGCGACTTCCACATCGTTGGAAATGGGCTGTACACAATGCTGGCGACTATATTGAAGGACTGTAAAACATGGTGACATGAATCACTTTTGTATTCCTTGTATATAAATAGTTGCCACTATTAAAGTTCCAACCCTTGTACATATTTTTCAATTCACTGCAACTCGCACATATGCTTTGCAACATATGCAAGTTCAAGTTAGTTGCAGTGCAGAGGATGATATTCATCACATAAGACGGTGTCACTAGCAAAGCCTTCACCCACTCACAACCATGCAAGGCCAGGCATTACAGCAACAGTTTAGGATCTTGATTTTTCATTAGAGTGATCATAGCAAAGATATTTATGCAAACAAAATCTGACGGGGACACCAGATGACTTCCTTGTAAGGCCTATTAAATTATGCACTTTTTTTTGCTGCATTTTATTTAAACTTATTTCCTCAACCTTCTTAGAGATATATTTCTCATTCAATTAATCAGTTCTCACTTCGAGGCAAAGCAAAAATAACAAAAAATTCAAAACATCTTCATTAAATACTGTAAAATACAGAAAAACATAAAACACCAAATACACTTAAATTTTTTTACACTTAAAATTAAGAACTTCTATGTAAAAACAAGGAATTCACCCAGCAGGGAAGAAGACAAATTTTTTGGTGCACAAAACTCAGTTTTCGTTGTTTTCCTACTCAGCAAAAAGACACGGAGGGTGTAGAAACTGGCCTTGTTCACTATTCTACTAAGAATTTCAAATGTAAACAATTGGCTGTTTGTTAGACTTAACTCGCCACTTGAACTTTTAAATTCTTCACAGTTCTACAACTATTGCATGCAGACTAACTAAAGCCATAAAAACCTTAACCAGAAAATAAAAACCACATAATTCCATCACTTTTAAAGCAAAAAATGCACAATTTGCCAACATATAAAATAAAATACTAATCTCACTGACCCAGGTAACAAAGTGAGAATACATATACATGTATATATTTACTTATATATGATTGGTGCAACCGATTGCAATGGAAAAGAGATGCACAACTACATATTATAGCAGTCCCACATTAAAAATTTCAACGTTCTACAGCTATTCTTTCTTGAGTTATCCAGATATATAGAGAGGTCAAGAAAAATTCTCTTCTGAATCCATTTCAGAAAAAGCTCGATTTTGTGTCAAAATACCTAGATCAGAACAATGCTATATATAAATCTAATACATATCCTAAGTCGCGTTTTTGAGACATGAAAACTGGCAAGTTGAATTCCATCAATCGGCTCAGTAGAACGGGAGATATAGAACTGTCTCAATTTTTTTTTTGCAGTGTACTTATCAGATACATAGATGATTTCATCACTTTTAACAAAATAGAAATTCCCAAATTCATTCCAAAAGCCTCATTCTTCATAAAACCAATTCTTGACAAAACTACCAAATTTCTAAGTCTTCAAATAGTTAACTACACACAGATTAAACTCTATGAAAAAAGCAGGAACTTCAAATTTGCAACTAATAAATTAATTAATTGGACTTCAAACATCTCCAGGAAACAAATTAGTAACACAGTCATTTGACAAATATAACGAATTAGAAATATTTGTACTGATACACTAGATATTCAAAACTGGATATTAATACTTTTTCAAGTTCTTAAAAATAATTTGGCAACAGATAACTTTATTAATTTCTGAAGCAGGTGCTAAATCCTCGGTTTAAATATGTTGACTAATAGGGTTATGATAATTTATTCCTAAAACCTTCAAAAGGCGGAATACGCTGGGTGTCTGTTAGCTAAGAATTTGTAAATTTTGTAATTAATTTTTGTATATAATGTAAATTAGGAGGTATTTATTTATTTATTATTTTTTCATTCTATTCTTTTAGTAACTAATGGGCCTATTCATATTTCTCAGTCTGGTAAATAGCCTCTTACCAGTGAAGATACCTTCTGTTTATGCTTTTTAAACCATTAGCCAGAAATTAATTTCTTCTGCTTGTTAAAAAAATTTTACTGAGAAACTAGTCTCTGACAACAACTTTAACTAAGCAATAAGGCTCTCTCGCCAACTTTATGCCTACCATATTTCAAATGCAGTAAAATACATCACCAATCACTCCTTCTCTTCCATTAAAAACGACAACCCTATTACATTCCACCACTGAGTACATTTACAGTTACAGCCATTTCATTTGAAATTTTGGAAACAAGTAAGTTAATTTTAATTTCCTTCATGGCATCAATTTGTACCTAAATTTTTATCTAAATACCTACCTACTTTTGATTTTTACATATAAATCTAAAAGAATGTATTAATTAGTATCTAAATGCTTACCTTTTGATTTTGCATTTTAATGTGAAAGAATGTTTCAATTTATACACATTTCTATTGTTTTCAAATATCTTCTTTTGTACGTATTTCATTTACTTTATATTAATTTGTACAGCTCTCAATAGTTTTTATTATTTTTACAATTCTGTGAGAGTATCGGGGAATGTTTTTTTCTAAAGTGACGATCTCGCTTAATTCAGTTTACCTTAAATTAAGAAGAAAATCTTACTCATTTTTATTTTTAGTTTTGTTAATGGTTAAATATTTTGGATCAGAGACTAATTACCTTTCTCATTTTTGTTTGTAGCATCTGATTTAACTCTAGCAAAATAACTTGTTTGATCCCTACTTAGAAAAAAGATGAAACACTCTCACTTAATTTAATTACTGTAGTGGGTTGGTTTGTTCCCCTTAATAAGTCAATTAATCTATGGTCAATAACAATGGCTACCTTTTCAGTACCTTAAATTTTACTTTAATTATACTATTTTGAATTTTTCTGGTTTAAAATAATGTTTCTATACAGCTTGTTAAAATATTTTACAACAATCGAAATCTAAATAACTTATACTTAAAATATTGACTCAAATTTATTATAATAATTCTTCACATTAATTAAATTTCTATTCTTTGCAGATGACATATAAAAAAACTTTTCTAATAATAAATTATTGATTTATTACTTGGCAGCTTTAGCACAATAATTCTGCTTTTTAAACTATTCATGATTACTTAGAATATACATATATACAAATACATTATCTCCCTTACCAAGCAGAACTTCTTTAGCATGGGAAAAGAAAAAATTACCAATGTGTATGCTAAATAAATAAAATTTGTCCTCTGCCAACTTAATATTGAATTTTTCTTTTACATCATTTTAATAAGGAAAAAATGTGCGGAATGAAGTTTTGAAACTTTATAGATAAAAGATATTTAGTTATTTCAATTATGACAGACATTCATGTCTAATTTCTAAAGTTTTAACTCTGTTTTTCTTAGACTGAATGTATCAGTTCTAAAATTATTTCATTTTAAAATTAATTTAGCATATGAAATAAAATATATTATAGAACAAGCAAAGTGAATACCTTTTAAGACTCATGATTCCAGGTATTTTTTAATTTCTGTGGAGGTAACCATTTTATAGAGCTAATGTAAATTTATGTTCTTATAAAAAGTTCATTTTCAAAAGTAGCTGTTTCAAAAGAATCTACTGTAATCATATTCCACTGTACCATGCAAATTTCTTACCTAGTGTTACTGACAGATAGATTTTTCACATCGAATTATTCCATTTTGCTTGATCTGTATATAATTAATTCTGATAAAATGTTTTTTCATTTAAAAATAAATTGACTAATATTTGAGCTAAAATAAAATATGCTTTGCAGAGCATATTGCCACAACATTCTTGATTAATTTACTATTCCTTAGAAAGAAAACTCTGGCAACACTGGGAAACTGGAAACAAACCAAAAAATATATTTCTCAAGTATCATTATTATTATTATCAAAAGCCCTTTAATATTTAATTCAACAACTAAAAACTTTTTCAGAATTTTTTATTTTATTTACAGACTAATGTGAATGCATTAAATAAAAAAAAAAAAAAAAAAAATCCTGTACATAAAATTTATTCGAACTGCATTATAAAAAGCATATTTATTGGGTATATACATATATTTAAACATGGACCAGCCATATTTCATGAAAAATAAAATATGTACAATGTATCACAAATGAGACAGATTATAGTTTTTGGAAGCCCTTTTACAGAGATATTCACTTAAAAATAATGACTTGGTATTGGAATAACTTCATCAAAATTGAATAGATGATTTCAACTATTTTGTTCCATTAATATGAATAATTAGTTACACCTAAAACATAAATAATATATATTACATAAATAATACATAAACATAAATAATATACAAATATTAGAAAGGTATTGATTTAAATACCATGGAATAATAAATTATATTTGATGAACAAACACTTTAAAACATTTCATGATTAACTGTACTGCTTGTTTTTCAGATTAGAGCAGATAACCGGATGGGCAAAACATGTAATAATCAAATTTGTTAAGCAATCTAGAAATTATAATTTTAGAATACATAATTTAAGCTCATTATGATTTTTAAAATTCTTTTCAGACGATACTATCGTCACTATGAAAGCAACAACAACCCCCTCCCAAAAAACGAAATGGAATGTGAACTTAGTTAAAAATTTTTCATCGCAGCATAACAATTAATATATTATCAATGACACAAACAGCAGTCATGATTGTGTTTAAATTGGTGTGTTGCTGCTTGAATTGCTACATAGCAGATTCTTATATTCTTAAGCATATGCTTATACAGCAGATCCAACTACTATTAATAAGAAAGCCTAAAATTTGCCAGAGTAAGGAATTCTGCTTTTGAATAAGCACTATTCAGAATTGTGCAACAGTCAGTGATAGGAGGTTCCATATTGCAATCCAACAGTCACGCACTCTTGACGGGGCTTAAGTCTGCTGAGTGAACTGACCAATCTAGAAAAATTATATTTTTGAATTCTAAGTATTCAAGTGACAAATTAAGTCTATGACAATGAACACCAATGCACCACACAAATTTGAATTTAGGATCAAATGCACCACACAAAGCCCCAATAGTGAAATATGATGACATTCCTATAATCGTGGCTGTTATGATATATAGCAGAAGTGGCCAGAGTTCAGAGCCATAGCTACAGTATATTTTGCAAAACTCGAAAATCAATATTTACATAATTTTAAAAATAACGAAATAATTTTGAATGGAAAGAAACATTTAGAAATTAATGAATTCATTAATGAAATTAATGAATTAATTAATTAAATTAAAATTAATGAAAATTTTACTTTTTATTAATTAATACAGTTCTATAAAAATAAATAAGTATTATATTTAAGGAAGGAATGTAGCAGAAACTTCAAACTACAATGCCATTCAAATGAACACTTTTTTGACAGAAAAATCAAGCATTTTCCTTTCTCACCCCCCCCGTGAACATTATATCACTGACAGCTATAGCAAGGCAACTAAAAATAAGAAGAAGAAATAACGATATTTAAATGCATAATAATATTTATTTATTTATTTATTTATTTAAATTTCAGTCAAAAATAGATCCGGCGATTTTCTTTACTTTTAATTGATATTATGAAACCTTCTGGAAAAGAACAGCATGTGCATATTAAAATATTTCTTTGATTTAAAAGTTACCATTCATGCAATAAAATATTTTTGAAAAATATAAACTTTTACACTCTCACAAAATAAAAGTGCCAAATTAACTTAAACTGTGATTCTGTAAAATATTAAATTAGTGGACTTTATTTTATAAAATTTGTGAATACAATGGTATCTATTACTTTTAGTAAATAAATAAATAAAATTCTATAATACTTCATAGCTAAATAATGAACATTAGGAAAATTGTTTATATTTGACAGTGCTGAATTACACTACTGTTTGCAATTTACACTCCTGACCTGCTAAAAAATTATAAAGAAGGTTGACTCTAAAAGCACAACCTTCTTACATTTTTATCTCAGTTCAGATAAGGTTTGTGCCAAAATAAAGAAATCATGTTTTTTTATAAATTACAGCTGATGAAAGATCAAACAGATAATAGTGAAATTCATGTATTTGACATTACCCATTATAATGGCAACAAACATGAAATATTGATTAAAAAATGTTTGATATGGAAAAAATGAAATCCTACCTATTTTTAGGAACATACAGCTAAAAATAATTCTCTGTTTTGACTTCCAACTAACAATGATGCAGCTAAATGGACAAGAAAGATAAAAGCAAATTATGCGATTTATATAGACAAATAAAGCTGCTCACTACATTTTCTTATAATTCTAATTATGAATTACTTAAAAGAAATTATAAAACAAATGAATATTTAAGTATTATCAGATTAAGTATGCAAAAATTTCAGCCATAAAAGTACATGCTTGCAGAAGAAAAAAAGATAAGAAGTTGTATAATTAATCAGCGGTTTATTTCAGTTACTAGGAAACAAACCCAGAATGAGCTATTAGAAACTACTACTGTATTAAAAATGAGATTACTTAATTATAGACTTATATTTTCTCCGTTACTTATCACTAAACTGTGTGCTGAATCAAGGACATCAAACCAGTATTTTGTAACCCTCAAGATATCATTAAAAAAAAAATGATGTGGACACCACGACTTCCTTGTACGGCCTATTAAACAGGGTTCGTAGCCACATTTTAGTTACAAAAATAAGCACCTATAAGCACGTTTCAAGCACATTTTAAGAAAAAAAATAAGCACCTGTCTAATTACATTATACATAACTGCATAACCTTAAAAGAAAAATTAGACTTGTAATTTAAAATATGAGAAATTCAGTATTTATTACGAGAGAATGAGAATTACTCAACCATGGAAAACAATTACATTTTTTTTTTTTTTTTTTTTAAATTTTAAATAACAGTTCAATTTACAGAACTAGTTTACAATGAAAAAAAAACTATCCAGAACTAATTATATTACAAGATTTAATGATGGAATTTCAGTTCAAAATAGAGAAAATAAATAATAATAAGCCATTTATTATATTACCTTGGCACCTAAAAAATAAATACAATTTATTTTTCCACTCCTATTAATATTTAAATAATTTAACTTAAATCAAAATTCTGAACATTTTCTAATTTTCATTCTATAACAGTTTTTCCCTTAACAGATATTTGCAAGCAAAGTAATTTAGTAAAAATAAGTAAAAAAAACTTTTCTGAATTAGAAGGCGGGAAATTGCTTCATGCAGTCATTCCTTAAAAGTAAAAGCTTAACTAACTGGCATACTCAGAAATTGCCGAATATCTGAAAATTCTGGATAGTCGAGAATAACTGGTAAAAGAGGAAAGGGGGTAGATTGTAGCCGTTTTTTAGATTTTTCAGCTAAATAATGCTTTTCACATTTTGATATGTGAATTATATAAAAAATAGTCCAATGGAACTGAAAATAATCCGCTTAGTAAACCGCACAGTAAAACTCTTTTATCTTTGCGAAATATGGCAACCATTATTGCGCAATACACGAGCCTTAATTCTTCCGCACGTGATATTACGCAATCGGAATCAACAGCTGCCGGTATTCGGACCGTCATGCGCCCATGTGGCATATTTATCATTGAGCAGGACACATCGTGCTCCACACAATATCCATACTACACTCATATTGATTAATAAAGAGATTTACCAATATGAGGTGTTTTTAAATTCTAATTTTGAACAGACTGCATTAAATTTCCAGAATAGAATCATTCTTTGCTTGGATTGGCAGACCGCAGAACTTTTAGTCCTATTCAATCCAGGTTGAAAAGTGACCAAAAAAAAAAAAAAAAAAAAAAAAAAAGCTGTTGCTTGCTTTGCTGCTAACTGTAACGATTTCAATATTCGAGATTTTGTGGAAAAAAGGGAGAACACCCAACTTGCGTACTGTTTAATGCATTGGCCAAAAAAAAAAAAAAAAACTATTTTGACTATTTGATTACTTTCACTTTATTTATGCCATTCTGAATATTATTCCTTAGAAAACTAATCTGTGTTAAAACACACCCATTTTTGAAGTTTATACTTCAGCAATTACTGTAAATATATTATAAATATTTATACATATGCTTATAATATAAGCATACGTGTATAATAAAGCTTATAATAAAGCCTATGGGTGCTATAATGTATAAATTAAAACTGATGATTTCTGGTAAGAAATTCTCAGATGGTTAAATGTATCAGTGGAGAAAATTATTTTATAGAAAAATTAATATTAAAATTAATTTACTGCGCATTATGAGATTATTATTCTGCAAAATTATAAACTCTGTCGAAGAATCAGAATTATGAAATATGTCGATTTTAAAATGGCACAATTCTCTGTTCTTTTGATCTACAATATGACTGCAAAACTGTAAAACTAAGCCGAGTTTAAATCAAGGTCTTCAACATTAGGGGCTCGTTTGGCAAACAGAATGCAAAAAATATAAGCATACTGATCATAATAAATGCGAATATGAACTGACCACATGGAACAAGAATGTAAATTATTAAAATCTTGATAGAAATTCAAACGTGTGTAGTATTGGGTAAGAGCAAAAGAATACGGAATCTACCGGAATTTCTACCGCTTTCGCAATTCTTTGACCAATAGAACGACGTGCACACCAAGTTATGTTAATTTGATACTAATGTTAATAATAATGCAGTTATGTTAATAATAATGCAGAGAAAAGGGTGAAAAGCGATTTCTGGGAGTATGATTCACCATCTGACGATCCATATAAGGAAGAAAAGTTTTTTAATTTAGTTTCGACTTTGGTACACGGAAAAAATGTGCATTCGTTAAAAAGAAAAAAGCACTAAAAGCAAAAAATAAGCACTAAAAACAAAAAAATAAGTGCTTCAGAAAAAAAGTAGGCACCTATAAAGGCTTTTATTTTTTATCTTCAAATATAAGGACTTATAAGCACTTGTAAGGACCACTACAAACCCTGTTAAATCATATAAATTTTTAATGCATTTCATTTAAACTTATTTCCTTAAATTTCATTACAGATATATTTCTTAGTCAATTAATTCAGTTCTCACTTTGTGGCAAAGCAAAAACACATAAAATGTCAACACATTTTTATTAAAAATACTAAAATACAGAAAAACACAAAACACCAAATACAGCTAAAACATCAAAAGAAAATTTTTACAATTAAAATTTTTCCAAGCAAAAAGAGTTTCCAAGCCCCCCCCCCCAAAAAAAAAAAGCAAAAGCAATTTGGCCAGCAGGCATGAAGGCAGATTTTTCGGTGCACAAGATGAAAATTTAGTTTTGCTCCCACTCAGCAAAACGACATGGAAGGTTCAGGAACTGATTTAATTCACTATTCTACTGAGTTTCAAATGTAAAAAAATAATGCTTCGTTAGGCTTAACTTGCAACTTTTAAATTGTTGATAATTCTATAACTATTGCATACAGATTAACTAAAGGCATAGAAACCTTAACTGGAACATAAAAACCACATACTTCAATCATTTTAAAGCAAAAAATGCACAATTTACCAACATATAAGAAAATGAAAACTCAGCTCACCAAGCCAGGTAATAAAGTGGGAATATATATATATAATTACAAAACAATTTTTTTAAAAACAATATAATTATGCCTAGTATTTTTGCACATTAAACTGCTGAAAATTTATCAGTAAAGACATAAAGTAAGAAATTTAGAACCAATTTTTCATAAAGACCAAAAATTGAAATTCATACGTAATAAATTTCTTAAAATCCTATAAATGTAATAAAGAATTATTAAGTTTTAAAACTAAAATACTTCAAACAAGTAATACCTTAATTTAAAAAAAATCAATGAAATTTAAAGAATATATATAAAAAGGAATTTTAGTAACTTTAGTGCCACTTTGTCAGGAGAAGGAACATTAAAATCAATTGAAATCACTCTTCCATAAAAAATCCTTGCTTTTCTGTATCCTGAATTAGCCTATGAACCATTCCAATATATTTTTATTACAATGAACCATTCCAATGCATTTAAATTATAATAGCTCACCTGAAAATTCTGGCCCCTCCCCAAAGCAAGGGGAAAAAAAGTAAATTCTAAACAAAATTTTACCTTCAAACAAAGATAATGCTATCCAAGAATTGAAAATGAAAGTGAAATAATAAAATACATTAGTGAAAAATTAAAATTAAAATTTTACCTTTAAACAAAGAGAACTTTATCCAAAGAATTTTAAATGTAAGTGAAATTATAAAATTTAAGTAAATATTCCTTACTATATATATACATGATTGGCACAGCCGATTGTAACAGAAAAGGGAGGCTCATAACGACATGTTACAGCAGTCTCACATACAAAATTTCAATATTATACAGTTACTCATTCTTGAGTTATGCGAGAAGGAAAAAATGTCTTCTGAACTCATTTTCATACTTGCCAACTTATGACACCCAAAAATCAGAAGACTTTTTTAAGAAATCAGGAGATTTCTCACAATGTTAAAAAGACTTTTTAAATGATAAAAATATAGTTTTTAATAACAAATTAACTTTAAATAGTTACTAATTCTTAAATGCAAGCAACACAAAAGTACCTTACACCTAAAAAACATTTTTAATACTTGCATCGTTTGAGGGGGGGGAAACACTTTAATCAGTTTTTGTACAAATGTTATGAACAGTGGCAGATTTTGCTTTTGTTAAGAAAGAAACTTCACAATTTTGTTCATAGCAATTGACACATAGGCCTGCTTTCGCTAATAAAAGTTTTTCTAATGCATCATCACTAATATTAGTTATGCAGCTGTTGGAACTGTTTCAATTTTCCCTCCCTTTCAGAACTCCTTTCAAGATAATAATAAATATCAACAATGTGTTTATTCACATTTATTGGTAAAGAAGCTGCCCTTTTTTCAGCTGCTAAATTTAAAAGGTGACAGGTGCACCTCATAATCTGCAAATCTGAATTTTCCTTTCTTATGATGCCTGCAACAGTCTTCAAGCCTATTATTACTGGTGCATTATCGGCACCAAGTGCTAAGCAAATTATCCAGAGGGACTGCATTTTCTTTCAAAGTTTTAATAATTAGCTGTGTTATATTGAAGCCTGTTGAATGTCCTCTAAAGAGGGGACAGAAAGTAAACTTCACTCAATTTCTGAAGACTCTGGATTAAAAAAAGAAACAACAATTGGATACAGTTCTGAATCGGTATTATTGCTTCCATTCGTAAAGAGGCAGGACGGAGCCATTTTAATGCAATCAATAACTAAAGATTTATTTTTCAAACCCATTTCTTTAACAATTGCACCTGTTTTGGTCCTTGCACTTGAGTATTTTTTAGTGATTTCACTATCGGAAAACATTTTTCTAAATAAAGCTGCAGTGTGATCCGATGCATTCAGTGGCAGGTTGTGCTCCAGTAAAAAGGCAGAGAACAGACATTCTGCAATAATAACTTTTCGGTCCTTTGTTTCCGAAGAAAAATTTAATTTTTCATTTTTTTTTTCCAAAACAACTCATGTTGTCTTTGTGTTTTTGTGTACACACATGTTTGAGAACATCCGCCCTTCCACCATGCGAAATCGAAAAATCACAACGACAGACGGTACACATCACAAATTTATTACATTTCCTTGAGGAAATAATGGAACGAAAGTCAACTGTGTATGATTTTCGAAACGTACACGAGTATTTCACCTTTCTCACAGATGTAACAAAAGATGATAATTTCTAAAACTATTTCCCGAGGCATGTGTACTCACACAACTCAGGACAAGATGAACGAAATAACTAAAGAACATACAACTAACAGCTTTGAGCTTGCTTTGTGCTCATTGGCCGATATATGGCAGATGACACACAGTGGAGCTCAATGCCCATTGGAAAACGACGTTTCTGGATACGTATGCTCTCACTGACAAAGCAGAAATTCTCATCTGATTAGCAAGGTTTCGTTTTAGATATAATCTAGATAGAATTCAATTGCTTTCAGACGTCCAAAATCACTTTTTTTTTTTTTTTTTTTTTTTTATATATATATATAATGAAGTATTAAGCCAAGTTCCATAAAAATCGTGGGAGAGTGGTTGAAAATCGGGAGAGTTGGCAACTCTGCATTTTATAATCGTTTTTGGCAAAAACAATCCTTTATTCTGTCCATACATACTGTTATGACGTAAAAACATCGTTCAAATGGTTCTGAGAGTGGTTGAAATGGATATTTTCATTGAACTATGGTCCCCAAAAGTTTTTGCGATTACAATACTTTCTTTACTTCATACAAGGAAGTAAAAAATTGTGCAGCAAAATGAAAAATATCTGATATTCAAGTACGAAGCTTATTATGCAGTAGTAGCAGCATGGTGTAATTTTCACACACACACAAAAAGTATATGTACAAAGAAAAAATACTTTTGGAATATGAAAACAAATGAGAATAAAACTAACATGCTCTGGTAAAGTGGAAAATCGGATGAAAAGAAACATAAATTGCAACCATGTTGCAATAAATATTTCTTTTTGATTTGATAGGTGTCATAATAATTGCTATTTTTTATCAGCATATTCCCCTAGCTATTTTAGGATAGGAATATTTAATACCGATTTTTTTCACAAGTATGGCAATTTCCTGAAATTTCAGATAAATTTTCTTTCTATATGCATTTCAAGACAGATCTTTCTACTCTTCAAAATCCCAGCTAAGGCTATTCTTTTCTCCTTCCGTGAAGACAGAAAAGAGAAATGCAATATAAAGATACAGTAAGCACCCTTAAAGATTCATTATAACACTTGTTAAATATATTGGTACTTGAGAAGATGTTGATAAAAAGTCTCCAAAAAGTCTGATACAATCAGTAATCACTGAAAACAGAAAGACTTGAAAGTAACATTGAATTTAAAACAAGAAATAACAAGAAACTATAAGACTAGGCAATGATGAAAAGATCTTTTGGTCTTGAATCTATATCCTGCAAACTAAATCACTTAAAACCTATCTAATGATTTCAATAACCTACATATACCTTCTTACATAGACAAGTGAGAAGTTAATACACCTAGAAATTTGCATTCTACATAAATATTGAAAAGACAAAATCATACATGTTGTTACAATTTCTGAAACAAAAGTTAATGGAATAGACAGATGCAAATGATATTGCCAAATGCAAAGACACAACAGATCTATCATAAATATTTAAATACTTTTATAAATGATGTAAACAGATCACTTAAAAAACAACATTTGCAACTATTCAAATTAAAATAAGTGTAATTTTTACTATATTTAGTCACACAGTTAATAAATGTCACATCCCTATACTGTATGCAAATAAATCAAATTACATCAATGGAAACCATAAAATCTATTTTTGAAGTGGGTCATTATTTCATTAATACAGAAGTAACTAAAATCAATTAAAAATTTGAAAGAACTGGAATTTAAAATTAAATGCTTACTTTGTAAATACTTGTTTTTATCAGGAATTCCAGAAAATATCATCTTCATATTAGTTGCAAAATTTTCAACATTTTTATTGGCTTTAAATTCTTTTATAGCAGAACAAAACTTTCCATAATTTTCTGTTGCACCTAAAGGTTGTAAATCTAAATAAAATAAAACTATATATGTATATAAGATAGCAGGGTGATTATATTAAAGTTTAAGTTCAAAACGCTATAAAAAAAGAACCACTTATGAATGACGTCAATTGAAAGGAATGTTATTGAAAGGCGGAAAGCGTCTGGCAGAAGAAAAAATTTAGTTTCAAAGTTAGCAACAGATGGCGCTGCGCGGAAGAAGACGTAAATTAAAATGTTAGTTAATTTCAGTGTTATAAAGCTGCCAGGTACCAGGCTGTTCCTCATTTCGCGACCAGGCTTCTCCATGGGTGTTTCACTGCAGGACCGCGCTCTGCTGGTAAAGCTGTATTACAAGAATGATGATTGTGCAGAGTAGCTCTGCAAAACATTCAGGACACTGAAGGGTATAAAGAAGGCGTTGGTCCAATGAGTTCGTAGGTCTAAAGAAAATGATGAAAAAATTCGAAACGACAGGTACGAAACATCCTGCAATGCTATCCGTACAAATTGGCCATGTGCAGGTTGCTTCCTTCTGACCTGACAGCTAGGGAGACGTTGGAAATTTCCACGGCATTCATTATCCACTTTCCATATGACCATATGACCATAAGCCCATTCCATATGACAGGATACGTGAATACCCAGAATTGTCGAATATGGGCAGAAAATCCACTGGCAACGCACCCCGTAACCACTTCATCCTGAAAAGGTCACGGTATTGTGTGGCTTTACGGCATTAGTCATCATACAACCATATTTTTCGAGCAGACGGGGCTTCCGGTCCTGTTACCGCATCTTCCACTGGTGAGATGTATGCGTCTCTTTTGCGCAACCACATGATTCCAGCTCTGAACAGCGTGATGTGTGAAGAAATCATTTTTATGCAAGATGGCGCTCCTCCGCACATTGCATATCCCGTGCAGCTGCTGAGGCGTCATTTTCCCTACAGCCTGGCCGTCCCGATCGCCGATTACCCGTGGTTCTGCTGTGGGGATATCTGAAGGATTTGTGTTCCATTGCTCCAAGTGCAATTTAGCGAATTAAAGCACGCATTCGCAAAACATTCTGAAACATCACCCGGGGACACTGCGATCCTTGTGGAACACGCTGTTTGTCGCTTTTCAACTTGTTGCACACACGTGGACAACCATATTGAACATGTTTTGCGACAGTTCCGACTTCTTTGATGAATGGTTCTTATCGGTATGCCGCCGCAAAACCTTTAAACCCACCGATTGTCCCTTCCGATGTGATATGTACACGTCATGCAATAAAATTATTCAACTTCTAATTTGTCAATGCGTTTTAATGTGTAACTTCCACCTTAGCGTTGTTTTACGAAACATTTCTCGTTTCTCGTCGTGATTCTGCCGCTTACGCGCCATCTGTTGCTAACTTTTGAACTAAATTTTTTCTTTTGCATACTTGTTTCCGCTTCTTCAATAACATTCCTTTCAAATTTCACATCATTTTCATCAGTGGTTCTTTTTTTATAGCGTTTTGAACTTAACTTTAATATCACCCTGTATATTAGGTTGACCAAACTTCATGTCAGTAAGAGCCGTATGTTTGAATTCAGGATGTTCGGAGCCGCATCTAGATTTTCTAAAAGCCCAAGTTCATATTTACATTTATAGAATTATGGAGGAGGTTTTTTAAATAGACAGAATCCCTGATACTTTGTAAAAGTGTCTAAACTAATTAGTTACTCTTTTAGGACACTGATAGTTTAGTTTCCATATTTCATACATATATTTTATATGCACGAGCCGCACAAATTGCCTGCAAGAGCCATATCAGGCTCGCGAGCCGCAGTTTGGCCATTCCTGAATCCATCCATCATAATATATATATATAGAGAGAGAATAAATAGAAAAAAAAAGGAAGGTACCAAAATTTATGTCTTAAAAAAATAAAAACAAAATACCTCAATAAGAAATGTTTTCCACATTTCAGTAGTAGATTTTTCACTATCAGGCTGATGTGCTTGACGAAATGAAATTGAAATTTTTCTTCTTTTTGCATCTTTAGATTTTGCTCTACTAGTTGATGCAACCTATGAAATAAATCATTCATAATTACTACAAAATCTGTATTTTATAAATATAAATTTGGAATAAGCTGAAAATAAACTGCACCTCAAGGTATTAAAAATTTATCTGAGAAACTTATAACCTATTTATGTTAAAATATTTTCAGCATAAAGAAAATTAGACATTAGTAAATCACAAAAAAATATTACTAACTGACATTAAAGAGGGAAAAATATCAGCCTTGAATTATTCTAATTTATTTTTTAAGTAGCCTTCCAAGGAAAGAAAGAAAGAAGAAAAAAAAAAAAAAAAAAAAAAAAGCTTTCTGGCAATAAAAAATTTTTACCCCCCCCCCCCAAAAAAATTATTAAAAATCTTTGCCAATTTTTGTTGCATGGGAGTTGAACTTTTTGTTTTATTGTTTACAATGAGCATACGCTTTTACAAAATTTAACTATATGAACTAGAAGGCCATGTAAAAAGTAAGATTTCATAATTCTTACAAATACATTTTTTAAATTTAAAAATACATGACATGAATATTTGCATAATTTAAAAACTTGTTTTTACATGTTTATGACCAATCATAATGAAAATAAAGGCTGTATTAGGATTTTTATACACATGCTGTATAAAGCAGCCAAAGGACTCAAGGCTTACACAATATTTACTATGCAGGTTAGAAATAATGGTAGTTATTTCATCCAAGGTTTGGAAAGTCTGAATGAGAATGATGTTTTCATATTTTCATTATGTACAACATAAAAATAAGTAAATTTCCCTTAAAACATCCTCTGTGAATGTGCTCTTATTCTCATTCAAATTATATAAAAAGCAAATGTATCTATTGTAACTAAATTTTGTCAAGTTTACATTAATTACGGTTTGGAAAAAAAAAAGATACAAACAATTAATTTATTATTTGAAGATTACTTACAGGATCAATAGATGTTTGAGAGGCATCAATAGATGTTACAGAGGAACCACATTTCACAACAGATTTACTCATCTGAGCACATGATGTTACTTGACTGTTATTTTCCATCATATCAAATATGCTGCTAGAATTATTTTCTGCTTTTACGGAAAGTCCTAAAAGAAACAAACTTATGTAAATTACCTTATGTTACTTTATAAAGACAAGTGAAATTTTTATAACATTAACCCTTTGTGGTGCACTATACTTTAAAGTTGGTATTTCAACAAGAAAATTTGTATGCAGTCTATCTAGGCCCTAAAAGAGTATACAGGTAAAATTTTGTAAAAATTGCACTTACCATTTCAATTCTGTGAGTGTTCCATGATGTGGCACACTGCGCCACCAGAGCTCTTAAAAGTGCGACTAAGCGAGCATTGCAGTGAAGCACGGAAATGAGCAGAAGCTTATGTATAATAAATGAAAAACACTGTATTATAGCTTTATATGTGGTTTTCTGCATATACACTACTTTCTTGAATATATATGGATAAATGAGATAAATATATGTATGTACACAAGTCTTATATACAAAAATATTTACAAAATTTTCGATTTTATAGCTTCGTGAAATTTTCAAATCATGTCGCATCTTTTTGATAGAAGCGCAGACCAACTGTGCAGATTTTGAACACAAAACTTGCTTTGTGCGGCTTCTGTTCCGTGCAACAATGTGTTTAGAATTCCAAGTAAAAACTTTAGGCTGTGTAGAGGGGCTTGGGTGAGATGGATTGTCAACTTTCTCATCAAATAAATGAGTTTCATCCGACATATCATCATCGGATTACAAAAGTGTTTCAGGAACGTATATCTCAGTATCGCTCTATCTTCATGCTCTGATTCGGAATCAGAGGGTAATTCATGAAGCACTTTTAGCGCTTCGGAAAGAGTTAGACCTTTCTGTGCCATTTATGGAAAATTAATAATAAAAAATTAACTGCAATTAATATTAACAATAAAGAAAAATAAGCTATAAGATATACATACACAAAAAATATCTACACATTTATTGTAATTAAACGGGAATGAGACTAAAAAGCGACAGCAAAAAAATTCGCGCAATCTCCCCTAAATAAAGATGACTCAAACTACTGATAAAATTCCCAACCGAAAAATACTCACAAAAATTTCAACATACCCATATTAGGGCTTTCATAGCACAAATCACACCTCACCCCTCAAAGTGCTTTGTTTGAATTCATTCCCCTCCAAAACAACGGAAATAGAAAACATATACAACAGATGCTTTCTCCTAAGACAGATGTTCTGATGTGTAACAGCATGAAATCGCTAACAGCGCAGTGTTCCCACTAATGGAACACCCCGTTTTATTCAATGATTCTGCACATGCTTTTTGTATGAAAAATGTAAAAAAATATATAACAAATAATATAGAGTACAACCATCAAAATTATACGGAAATTTTTTTGTATCACAAAAAAAAAAAAAAAAAAAAGAAATTTACTAGAAAAAAAGTGGATTTTAATAACACATGATAAATGAAACTTCTCGGTCTCCTTGTGATATGCTGCCATCTAATATTTAAAAAGAGAAGTTCGAAGTATATTATAAAGGCATTTTGATCCATTTATGGTTGAATTTAACGGTTTCAGAAGCAATTCAAGTTGGGTGTTCCATGTAGTGGTACACTGAGCCACAAAGGGTTAAACACAGCACTATTTGGAATAGCAGAAAGAATAATAATAATAATGATAAAAAAAAGCACCCAAAAACTTATACAAACAAATACATGAATTAAAATAATATAATAATACAGAAACCTTACACAACATTAACCTAATCCTCTTCATGTTTATGTCATATAAGTATATATAGTCAGTATGGAAATTAATGTTAGATATGTTCTGCAATGTTCACAGCCATGAATCTGATACTATTTCATCATGTTATATATTCAGATATACAATACAATGAAAGAAAATCAAAATTTTAATTACTAGAACTATAACAAGACAAGCATTTTAAAAATATTCACATACCTCTATCATTAATCTTATAACTCTCAAAGATATTTTCTGCAAAGACTCTAAAAAAAATATAGAAGTATTTTAACGTACAGAAAAAAAAAGTTACTTTGAGTATTAGGAATTAGAAAAAAAAAGTCACTGTGTATTTGTCATACAGTACTTCTATATATATATATATATATATTATATATTATAAAGAACTATCTTTAATATAAAAGATATAATTAAATAATATTTATGCAAAGAAAATAATTTAAAACTATTAAACAATGCAATTGAAACTGTTAACTCAGAATCCAGAACAGAATTCTTAAAAAAAAGGGGGGGCATAAACCGGAAAGGGGGGAAAAAAGGTTTGAACAAAATCAAGGCCAACCAAACAAACAGGCAAATAAAAAAAAGCAACCGAAACTTAAAACATTTTCATCTGAATATTTCAATATGGGGTTGTTACTGATAAATTTTGGTGGCTTAAATTCCATGGACACAAATGAGAAAAAAGCAAAAATGTATTTTAGAGCAGTTAAAGTGGATAAAAAAGTTTATAACACTTCTTTTTATTAAAATGTGTGCCTAATATCACTTTTTTTAAAACAGTACTTCAGTTTTCTCTATGTATCCTTAACATTTCAGAATATTTTTAAACAGTCAGACATAACTTAAACACTCTCCAGTTTGAATTTAGTAGCCGTACATTTTATCACTTAAGCTAATGAAATTCATCTTAAAAACTCTTAATGAAAATTCCATTTATCGTTGAAGTTTTCAAAAACATTATATTCACGCAAAATTCAATAAAATACAAAAATTTCACATACGATGAGTCAAAATAGGAATATTGTCCATTTTATCAACTAATTTTAATACCTTACAATCTCTAATTTATTTAAAACTATACATAAAACTAACCTGGAAGTAAGAAATAAATTTTCCAAACACTAAAAAAGCAAGTTAAATATAACACTGAAAAATTAAACAGTTCATAAGAAACTACCTTTCACAGTTTTCAGTCTTTTGATTCTGTTGACTTGCATCCTTCATATTTAAATGTCCTGTGTTAACTATTGTTGAGCCTAATTGAAATCCTCCCATCTTTGTATCAAATTTTGACTTTAAAGGCTCCTATAAAAAAATTATTAAAGGCAAAAACATGATTTAAAAACCAAACTGAGCTCAAACATGAATTATTAAAATATTTATAGAAAAATGAAGACTTCAATTGTTTTAAGTATTAGTGATGATTTAATTAATGATGCCAAAGCATTATAGATTTATCGACCTGGAAAGGGATTTTATAAACGACTTTTTGATAGGAAGTAATGAATCCTACAGTAATAACAGACAATAAACAGCACAGACAAAAGACAGTAGCATAATAATTTTGCAGTAATTCTATAAAAACTGTGTATATAACAAGAAAGTAACTACTAAAATGATAAAAACAGTCAACCTATTTTGATGCTAGGAACTGAATTCAGAACACAACCATCAGGTATTTCACAACTTTAGTCTCTTGATCACTACTAGGCCCTATTAAGCTAAGAAACAATATTTTTAAAGAAATGAAATATGGAAGCAATATTATGAAAACACAAACATGTTTTAATCTCTTTTCAGAACTAATGCCAAATTAAAAGGATAAAAATTAGAAAACTTGAAGATACAAAAGTCATCATAACTGCAAAATAGGAGTTTATATATTACATCATAATAAAACCAAAAACAAAGAATTTCCAATAAGAAATTATTGGATTTTAGGATGGACATAATATAAATAATATAAACCTTAATTTACTCCACTATCTTGAAGATGCAACGAGAATTCGGACACTGAAAATGCACTGCATACCTCGAGTCAAAACAGTGATCATAGCAATTACGAATTTAAAACTAAGAGACATAAAAACATTTCGCAATTCATAAGATGTATTATTGATTGCAAGTCAGTTTTCATACCTTTGAGAATTTAATATAATACAAAAACAACATTACTAGTAATGTAGTACTACATTTATTATATGATTAGTATATACAACAGCTGCAAGAATAAAATCGTGCATTGCTGCAACTACATTAATACGGTTAGTTTATAATACAGTATTAGAAAGAATTAATGATGAAACTTAACATAAATAAATCATTTTGTTAAAAACATTATCATTTTAAACCAATAAATTTCTTTTACAATTTTCCATTTATTATTTAATATGAGTAATGACTAAATTTATAACTATTTTAATAAATATTTTATTACAATATTAAGTGCTTTCTAATTATCTACCCTACCCTGAAAAGAATTCACCAGAACTCAATGTTGCCAAATTAGGCAATCTCAGAACATCATCAAAAATGTAATTTTGTGGCAAACTAGGTGAATGGGAATGTACAACAGATAGGGTTTTCAACTTTCAAATTAAACAGTTATTACTGTTTGTTTTTCTTACACTGAATACATTTTTTTTTTTTTTTTTACTTGCAAGGGTCATAATGAGACTGCAGTTTGCCGACTAATGAAAAAGAAAACTTTGCATTTTTTCAGAAATCAGATGTTTCGCCCAACAGTTACAGAATACTAGAATCTGCAGTCCATGAACTTGTACTTCATAATTGATTGAATTTTATGCAATAAAATTTATACAGTTGTCTCATTTTTTAAGCAAAATTAGATTGCTGTATATATGCAAAGCATGCACAATGTCAAATTTGTGAAATTCTAATTTTTTTTAAGAGAAAACAGATTGCTGTACACACAGTGAGAACGATAATATGCATAGTAACAAGTTATTTACAATATCATGTTTCTGCAATTCTCTGATATTTTAAGCTAAAATAGATTGCTGAGTAAATGGAGAGAACAACGCATAAAGGGGGGAAAAGTATTTTATTATAAATTTTTCTTTTTAATTTTGTTAACTGGTTTACTGTTTTATATAATTCTTAGTTCACCACCATCTTTTCAGGATTGAGCAGATAATCAGAAAGCACCAAATATTAAAATAAAATATTTTAATAAATAAATGTAATATTTATATATTCATTATACTTATTTTTATTTAATATTTATAATTTTACATTTTAATTAATTACATTCCATGCTCAGTCTTAAAAACGCAAGCAAATGCAAGTAAGTATAGCATCTTCCTACTTTTTGATATGCAAAAGTACTGTTTTATTGTCATTCATAGCGTCTACATAAAAATCTTATGTGAACGTTCCATACACTTGCTTAAGTATTTATAGCAAAGTTCTATAAGAAAAATCTGTGTATTATGATTAAATACAAGGCAACCAAAAAAGTTCTTGCCATTTCTGATATGACACTGGAAGAGTGAACCCCAACATAAAAATAGTTGCCAAACCTGTCGATAAAGTGGTTATGATAGGAGTCCAGGCATTGACCAGGAGCATAAAAGTGCGCTGCATTGGTACTTCAAACATAACTCGCACAGTGACTGATTTAAATGGACACGTCAAGGTCGCCCGTTTGAAGTAGTTTGCTGTATGATTTTAAAGTGGGCCTGTCAGCAGCAGAACCAAGTCACTGAATTTGCCAGGCCTTTGGGGATGATGCTGTTAATGCATCTTATGTTTTACCTTTTTTTACAGTAACTGTTAATGCTGGCTTGCCCAAACTAGTCTGTCAACTACATGCTATACCAAACCTATTAAAAATCAATACTTTCAGCCAGTAATACTCATTTACTAAAAAAAAACTTCAAAATTAATATCCTATATTAATGATTAGTGTTGGATTACAATACCTGCAGTTTAGCATAGAATTTGGCTTCTCCTGACGCATGCCTAGTTCACCATTTTGATGTGCACTGTGATGATGCAATCTCTCACATCTGCACTATGCATATATGTATAAGCTATGCTTCGCTTTCTCTCCTGTGTGTATGCTATCGATGTCTATTTATCTGATTAAAATGTTAATTAATGTTATAAGCTGTCTGGGCCCATTTTTGTTCAGATAATTTGGCCCAATTATGTTCAATTAAATAAGTAATTTCAACCTATTAAAAATCAATACTTTTAGCCTGTAATATACATTTACCAAAAATGAAGATTAAAAATAATATCCTATAACTAATGATTAACTATAATATACTATGTTATAGGATATTTATAACATCAACAGAGAATTATAAATTGAATATGGAAGTTGAAAGAAAAATTACCTTGTCTAAAGTTTTGAAAAAGCTTGACAACTGCTTAAGGAGAGGTCCAAATGAATCAAAAACATGTACATGCCCATGGATCCATTTTGACAGCTGATTCTGTATGCGTACTTGCTTAAATCTACAAAAAAATAATTAAAATTTAAAACATTTTAGAATGGTTTAACATATTTATACATAACAGCAACAAGGCTAAAGTAATTACCTATCATCACACAAAAGTATGGCTCCAAAATCATCTTTATGCCTAATTACTCTTCCAATAGCTTGATTGACAGCTCTAGATGCTTGTAGTACATACCAGTCATTGCCATGTAATCCCTGTTACATATACATAAAGTAAAGAATTAAAATATTTCAATCATTAAAAATTAGCACTTGCTTCAAAAAAAATTATCTATAGAATACAAAATTTACTTGACATTATTAAAAATATTAAGAATTTAAAAGAATGCTAATAAAAGGCAAATCTTTCACGAATTACAAAAATATATACCTTATTTTCTTTAGCTAGAGAATCCAAATATTGCATCTTCATTTTAACTCGAGGGTCCATTGAAGGTGCAAAAGGTAAGCCGGTTATAACTACAGCACGAGCATTTCTGTCAGCAAAATCCAAACCTTCACTTACCTGGATGTATGTAAAAATATTATGAAGTAAACAGGGATAATCAGATATACTCTTAAAAGATTATAAAAAATGAAATAAAAAAAATTATCATATTATACTTCAAAATTCATAATATAATATGGTGCTTAATTTAAAGGTATTTTGTTACCTTTAAGAGGTTCATGTTCATGATGTCTGTCATTAATAAACAAATTCTTTACTTCTAAAGTATTTTATTAAAGGAACAAACTATATCCAAGAGAATTTCAAAGATGCTTCAACATTTCTGTCATAAAATGACTGTTCGATACAAATTGTCAAGAATATATCCTGCATAAATGAATAATACAAACTGAAAGAAAACTAATGACAGTATCTAATTAATGAATTTTAAGTTAGTATATAATATTTTTTCCTACGTAGCTTAGAACTTAATGAAATGTGCTTTCTACTTTATAAATTTCTTAAAATACCATTTGAGTTTTTTCTGAAGGCAAGAAAATTCTCAAGTATCCTAAAAAAAAATTAAATGAGTAAAATTTACTGCAGTCCATTAAAAGAGAATGATACTTTATCTTTAGACTTAAATGGGTTTCTTACCACAAGATTTCAAATATATGCATGAAAAACACTCACATGCATTACTTTCTACACTAGAAAGTTTAAAAATGTGTTGCACAATAAAAAATAAATAAATAAAAAAAAACTGCCATGGTTAAAAAAAATAGGCTATTGAACAACTCATTTATCATATGCAACAGTTTGAAACTACGACAGACACTGGTGTGCAAAAATTAAGGACGAAGTCGAAAAATTAGCATATCAGCTGAACGAAGAGACAGAGCGGACAGAAAGACCAATCATGATATTAAGTAAAGTGATGTACGGTAGCACATGCGCAGATATGCAGGTAAACGTAATGGGGGAGTGTCTGAGTAGTATAAAGCATATTGTCGGTGTAAGATCAGTATTTCTGGCAAAGAGATTGCACGCCGTATAGCAGTTAAAATCACACCGAGTTGCTGCCTCAGCGAGAAATGGCGAATAATCAATCTGTTAGACGGCATCTGGATGTTTTTACCCGAGGTCGAATCATTGGGAAGTTGGAGGAAGGCCGCAATGTGACAAGTGTGGCTGCAGAGTTCGGAATTGCTCACAGCATCGTTTCACGACTTTGGAGACAATTTCAAACTACAGGAACAGCTATCCGGGGGTTTAGTAGTGGTCATCCACGAGGAACCACACCCGCAGATGACCGATATATTGCCTTACAGGCCAGAAGAAACAGGCGGCAGACAGTGGGAGAAATCGCTAGACACACGACACAGGCGACTGGACGACCGATATCGCATTTTACAGTGGCCAGAAGACTGCACGGTGGTGGTCTGTTTGCACGATGCCCTGTACGGTGTGTACCTCTAATGCCTGCCCATCGGAGAAGGTGTTCTCTGTGGTGCCGGGAACACCGGAATTGGAGAGACAATGAATGGGGACGAGTACTCTTTACAGATGAGAGCAGATTCAGTCTGAGTAGCGATTCTCATCGCATACTCATCTGGAGAGAGCGGGGAAGCCGCAATTATACCTCGAACATCATTGAAAGGGACAGGTATGGAGGTGACGGTGTTCTTGTTTGGGGAGGCATCATGCTTGGTAGTCGTACAGACCTTCACATCTTCGACGCAGGTTCAGTCAACGGGACCCGTTATTGTAACGAGATTCTTCTTCCATATGTGCGTCTTTTTAGACGCGCTATGGGTCCGCAGTTCCTTTTCATGGACGACAATGCACCATGTCATCGCACAGTAGCTGCCGAACAGCTCTTAGAGAGTGAGGATATTGAACGTATGGATTGGCCGGCACGATCTCCGGATCTCAATCCCATCGAGCATGTATGAGATTTTCTAGGCAGACGCTTGGCAGCTCGTACCTTAGCACCAGTAACGATTCCGGAGCTTCGATTGGCGCTGCAAGACGAATGGGCAGCAATGCCTCAACAACTCATTGACACCCTCATTCTCAGCATGGGCAGACGCTGTGAAACCTGCCTAGCTGTCAGGGGAGATCATATCCCCTATTAAAGACCGTATGTTTCTTGCTGGACACCCATCACAGGGATGTTTCCGCCTTCAGTTGCATTGCGCTCCATGCTACTTTTTCAATAAAGCTTCTTTTTATCCCTCTGATTTCTCTTTTAGTAAGTGTTGCTTACATTACTCATGTCCTTACGTATTGGGGATCTTATAGTATTAAATGTGTTGATTTGGAAAGCTTTTGTACAAAGTTATATTGAAAAAACTGTCTCGTCCTTAATTTTTGCACACCGGTGTAATTCTTTACGTTCTGCAACCTCTGATTAATTAACAACACTTTATCTTATCTTTTATGCTATAATATAAAAGGTGGGAAAGATAAAAACATTATTAAGGAATAAATAATTTTAAATATCTCACTAAATTATGGTAAGCAAACTTACTTTTCCTCTACACACAGCTAATAGAGTAGCTCCTTTTGAATTAGGCTCTTTGATAGCACTATAATATGCTTCTATACTCTCTTGAAATGCATCTTTGCCTTGTGGTTCAATGAAAACTGGTTTCATGCCTGATAAATTTTGCCAAATCCCATTTTCTTCCCATTTACCTATATTTGTTTTCATGACAGAATATGAAGGAAAAAATACTAAAAGACCATCTGGAACCAATCTAGAAAAATTTGTGAGAGTACGACCTAAAGAACTAATATATCTTTCATTAGACCTGCAAAAAATAAGAGCATCAGTAATTATTAATATTTATAGAAGAGAACATTTCTATAGAAATAATAGAAAAGGCATAGTACTTGTGATTTATTATAAATGCTTTATATATTCATATGCATTAATCTAAAAATTAATTCAATAGTGGCAATTTATTTTGAGTGAAAGTAATTGTTCCTATGTGAAATTTCAAAACTTTTCTCAAACACAACATAAAAAATGCACTAGAATCTTCCAGAATATTGCCAATGTGAAAAATATTCCTAATCTTCAACTAAAAAATGCTTAGTAAAACATTTAAAATAGCATGCTGTGTGTTTATTTACATAAATTTACCTAGATCTATACCCTAAATAGTATATTACTGTGAATTCCAACTAAAATTTAAAACAAGCAATATCAGCTTTACATTATCATTGTGTGATCTTTTTTTGGCAGCTCATGATATTTAAATTAATTCACCCAAATGATTTTTTTTTAATTACCAAATACTTTTCTTTAAATTCAACAGTGTCATTTTTCTTTTTTGTTCTAATATATAAAATTAAGTACTATTGAATTTGTGGCAAAATAATCAGATATAAATACATTCAGATTGTAAAGTAGTAATCAAAGCAATTCTAAACCTAAAGAGAAATAAAAATCACATATTAAATATTTTATTATGCTTTTTACTGTACAGTAAATTTTTGTACTATGACTGGCATTTTAAATTAAAAACAGAGTATATGCATATTAACTACTAAAGGATACAAAATACGGTATATAGTCCGAGTTCCGGACGTCAAATATAAGGAATGATCTAAAATCTGGACTTTCAATATCTGAAACTCAAAACCACCACCCTTTTTCGTATGTGTCTGTGCTTCACGCATGCGCATTTAACCTCCTCCCCCCGGCACACATAATAAAACATGCGGAGAGTCCTGATTCTTAATTTCACTTCGGCACTAAATAAAACCATTATTGAAGAAACCATCATTTTAGCATAAATTTGTATGATCAATAATTGTTTTCTGTAGCTACGTATCTGCTAGGCATACATCTTAAACCGAAACATTCTATGTAGATACATCGTTTATTTTACACCTACTAATATTTTATATCCCTGATGCCAACCTGTCGAATCATTATTTATTATATTTTGCTTTCCTCACCACATGACAACTTGAGCAATGACTCATGTATGTTAGTAATTGAATAACAAAGAATATGGTAACTTTTTATGTTGACATTGTGCTTGGCGATGATTACAGATTTAAGTTAGATGTGCTAAGAAATGTTGTCAGGAAGAATTTAACAAAAGTTTCTTTCCATATGCTAAAAATAGATTTTGTTAATGACACTCATAGGCCAAAAGATTACAATTAATGCTATTTGAATTAAGAATAACTGATTTGTTATTGAAACCCAGAACCAGGCCCATATGGCAACACCGAGCGGCAGAATTTAGAGAAGACAAAGGGAGTTGCTTGATAGCAGAATTTAGGACCTGCAGAGACTGCATCAGGTGGTAAGATTTCTAGCGCCGGCCCTCAATAAGCCTTAAATATATAAGGGAATTTATTTATTCAGGACTTAGATAAGCCTTAAGCTTGTGCAAGGAATAGGCGTAAATATAATAAATAACTAAATTAATACAATTCAGGCTTAATTGTCTTAGTGCCCGATAGACGCAAGATAAAATTTAGTGGAAGAGCCTTGTCTTTAGTCGCGAATCTCATGGTACATAGCCAAATATGTATAATGAATGATAGATAAATTTTATGATGATAGCCGCGAATCTGAAGGTTTTCGGGTATCAGAAAACAAAGGTGAAATTTTCTAATTAATGGATTTTGTAAAGAAATGTGGAGAAGCGGTAATAAATGAAGATGGTATAAAGGAAGTTTTCATTGTGATGACAATGCTCCTCAATCATCGATTAATTAACAGGTGGCGAAATATGTAGTATCGTTCTAGAACCAGAAAATACCACTACCAATCGTGAAGAAAGTGACAGAGATGTTACTGAAAACGAAAAAATTTCGATTGACAAGTTAGTCAAAGGGAAAGCATTAGCACAAAAAATGAAGCAACTCAAACAACTTGAAAGAAATGTTTAATAAAGTAAACAAATAAATTTAAATATTTTTTCTAATTTTGATACCCTTTAGATCATATATGCTTCATTATTTCATAAATCATGATTTCATATTTTTAATTTTATTATTTCCACATGCCATCTTACTAGAGCATCCCAAACATTTTCAATGGGATTAAGGTCAGGCGAATGCGCTGGCCACGCCATGCGCGCAATCTCTTCACTCTCCAGGTAGTCTTCGACAATGTCAGCTCTATGGGGACATGCATTATTGTCCATTCAAACAAAAGTAGGGCCAACTGCTGCAGCGTACAATCTCAGAATGGGTTCTAGGACTTCATCTCGATACCGGACAGCCGTCAAAGAACCCTGTTTAAAGACGTGCAGGCCGGGGCGGTATCTTAAGGAAATCCCTGCCGCCACCATAATGCTTCCGCCTCGGAATGCGTGATGTTCAGTGATGTTTTGGGACTGATTGCGTGATCATTGTTCACGCCATATTCTTATACGCTTGTCATCTGGCCCAGAGCAAATCTTGAGTCAGCAGTAAACATGACATTGCTCCAGTCAGATATATTCCAATTGACATGTTCCCAGCATCTCTGTAATCGTGCCCCTCTTGATTGGACAGATATAGGAACACAAACTTGAGGTACCCGGGTGTACAGTCGACTCATATGTAATCTTCGGCGTACAATAGCTGCAGATATTGCCTTACCAATGGACGCTGTAACCACAGATGTCACAGATGTGGAGGTCGCTCCGAGATTCCGCTTGGCTACAATAGCAATATATCGATCTTCCGCAGGGGATTGTAACCCTTGGGCAACCGGCTACGGGCCTTCAGACAACTGTCTGTGTGGTTTGGAATTGTTTCCATAAATGTGAAATTACAGAATGATGAACACCGAAGAAAAGAGCAACGTCTGTGATCGACTGTCCTGCTTCAATGCGCCCCACAGCATGCCAGCGCTCTCAGAATCTTCCATTCGTCTTCTGGAAATCATAGAAACACGTATGTCTTGAAAACAAATTGTATGAAAGTTTTAAACACCTTCTATCAGCACTTACAATCAACTTCTGTAACCCTTCATAAAGCTGGCTTCTTATAAGATTGCCTTTTTTGCATATTTCTTGACATGAAAGCGCGATTGGCTGTTACCTAACATATTTGCATACTTCCATCTACCTCTGCAGCGAATTGCATCCTCTTCAATTCTGATTGGCTTCCGGAAATTAGCATTTTCCTCTCCGTGCTTAACTTTTGGAAGTGAGTGTAGTTTAAATATATAGATATGTGTGCATGTGTGTATGAGTGCAGTTTTCAAATCCTTCATAATTAAGAAGCGTGGTAGAATAAAATTTAATGATTAAACCAACAAATTATTTCTATATAATACATTTACAACAAAAAATAAGAATTTTAATAATCAAATTGGATATTGAAACAGAGAATTCAAAATTAATGATGATTTTTCTCAATAAATCCAGTTTCTAACTAATCAGATTATTTCTTCTTTTATTCCCCAACTCCTTTCAGTTTGGGCTCATGGATATTTCACCGTACTTTTAGAAAGATAATGTTAAATTGGAATTAGCAAGTTTAGCAGTTTGCAAGGAATTAGTATGAACTAATGATTGACAAATGAACAACTGAACAACAATACAACTGAACTTCAATTATCCAGATACCTACAACATATATTTTTGTTTCTTGGCCAAGAATAATTAAGCATTGTTAATTTACATCTTTCATAAAAATTATAACTTTTTTTTAACAAACCATGCATAAAAATTTAACTTGTAATATGCAAAGAATTAAAATCTTCATTTTATTTAAGTACAATAAAATAAAAAGATTGTTTATTTTTAAGGCTTATTTAAAATGAAACCCAATTTCATCATTTTACTTTAATTGAAATAGAAATGCATTAGGTATATAAACAATAGCTTAATTTAGTCATATAAAAATAAAAACACGTTAAACTTTTTTAATAAAAACACTTTTTTTAAGTAAAACATGATAAATGAAATAAATTTTCTACTACAAGAAAGGAACAGATAAAGAAACAGACAAATTACTATACCTCCTAGTGTGAAAGATGTGCTTTTTTCTTTAAAAGTTTTGTGTCTAAAATCTGGGTGCATCTTATACGATGGTGGTGTTGCGGCAAATAAAACCAAGGGTGAGATTCTCGGCAACGCCATACACAGCACACGTATTGACCCTCAGATTGCCAAGGAATTCACTCAGCTGTTTTTTTTTAAACCAAAATGTATGAAATTCCCTTTGAGAATCATAACAATTTCTTTCCCATTCATTAACAAACAAAGAAGTGTGAAGGTTCAAATGATATTATTTCTAGTTACTAACAAAGGAGGTTCCTTTCTGAGTGTATATTAAGTCACCTTTAACTTAAAGATAAGAAATCACAAACTACCTACAATAAAGTTGAATGCTTAAAATGCATTTGGGGGAACTGCACTTTAGAGAGAGCTAACAGATGGGAGTTCTGACAATGAGGACAAGTTGCATACTGAATAAACATTGATTTCAATAACTTTATGTACTTTTTTCTCAATTCAATTGTAACCTAAAAGGCTATTGAGGTTCCAAAATCAAGGTACTTAGTATATACAAGGGGAAATACAGTATTTTAGTTCATCAATAGAAAAAGTAGTAGTTCCATTAAAAATTTCAAACCCTGTGCATTATAGAATGTATAGTTTTATCAGAATATAAATTCTAATCAACAGTATTCAGTTATTGACATTTACCATGGATCAGAATTCTTTTACAATAAAACAAACTTTTACCTGTTTTGATAAGACGAATTGAGAGGTGTTCCATCGGGACCGTTAGCTACAACGGCAACAAAAACTTGATTATCTTCTATAATATGTGGATTTTCAAGCTGCACTGGGAAGTTCACACCCAATTCACTAATCATAGGTCCAAGAGGAGATAAGGTACCACTTGTTAATATAATACTGTGAACTCCATGATCTACTATATCCTGCATTCTACAAATATAAAAGTTGTTCATGATTCGTAATAAATGGCATGCAGATTATAAAGTATTCATTATTTATTCCTAAACTGGTATGTCAGAAAGCACATCATACATAGCTATCTAATAATATAATTAATGAGACAGTTACTTAAAATCAAATATCAATCTCTTATAACTAAAAACAAAGATGCTTGTTCATTGATAGCTACTGTAAAGCCTTATTACAGGATTCTCTCAGTTATAAAAGAATATATAGCACCTCTAGTCATTTATTAAATAATGAATATTAAGAAATCAAAATAGCATTAGAAAAGACAAAATGGGTCTTTCTGATTATTTGAATCTTCATGAAAAGTTACCATCCCATTGCTGATTACATGAATAGGTATAAAATGGTTTGACTATCTTCTATTCCTATATAATATTAATAAAAAGAAGTATTTTCTAAGAAATAAGAAATTTTATGAGAAAAGACAAAAATCTGTGTGGCTAATATTCACAGTTTTACAGTGAGAAATGATACTTATAAAGCATTTAACTCTGCATGACTCAAATAGTACATGTGTAGGTATGCATGAGTGCAAGTTATAAGATGGCTACTACCATGAGTACGCTAAAATATATTCCCAAAACAGAGCAGTTTCACCCTATGTTCAAAAAACATAGGTGAAACTGCTTTGTTTTGGGAATGTTAAAAAAACATAGGTATGGATAATCAGAAAGAGCACAAAATACTGTGAGGGCTTAAAGAATTTTATTTAAAATTAATTAATTTTGCTTTTAAAAAACAAGTGTTAAATACTAATGAGTGACTTTCTTAATTAGCAATGACATCACATATACTTTTATTCCAAAAAATTTATAAACTGACCCAAGTCCAGGTGAGAAACACCAACAGTCTAACTTCCAGCCTTGCCTCTTTTTTGTTCCTGCAGGAGCCACAGCCCAAGGATCAGCAGAACTTTGAAATTTATTTGGTGTTTCATATTGAAGAAAAACCTAAAAAACACATATTTCCAAAAATGTAAACAAGTAATTTTGGGAGAGAAGTAGCAGAAAAAAAAAGCTTCTTTAATTTGAATTTAGATAAAATAATCCTTACAGCTGAGTAATGAGAACATGCCAAAACAAACTAGAGCTGTATGTTTTTAGGAAAAACAACTCTTGGCAGAGGACTTCCTAAGAAATTTAGCTTGTATTTAACTTATATGTGAAGAAACGGGTGCAATGCGAAGGAAACCTCATACAGCCAATCTTCTGGGAATAGATTCCAAAGTGAATCTTTAATGTTTTGCAATCCTAGCCACTTACCCATAGCTCAGTCTAATTCAACTTCAGATTGACACTAACTTTGTAGAAATACACAACTTACAGAAAAATTTTATACGAGCTTGCACAGACTTTTTTAGGGGGGGGGAGAGGAATATTCTGTTTCATTTAGCAAAATATGGTATTTATACATTTAATTGTTGACCATTACTGCCAACAGTAAATAGCAATTTTTTTTTTTTTTTTTTCAATTCTAAGTTTTAAAAATATAAAATAAGAAGCAGAAACAAAATTTTAAAATTTGTACTTTAATTATTATTTTATTATTATTATTATTATTATTATTATTTTAGGTCTTCCTTCAAAAATCAAGTGCTGGACTACCGTTTAGCACTCCCATTAGCAACCTATATCATTTAGCAAAACCCTGATTTATATACTACTGCTAAATTCCACGGCTGTTCTCTTTTACAGTGTAACCATCACGTTCTAAACTCATGACATCATGTGAATATGAAGGGGTTTTGTTGTTGTTTGTTTTTAATGATCATATATTGAATTGGTTAAGATTATATTTTTTAGTCATTATATTGAAATAATATTTAACTGATTTATTTAGTCTTATCTCTGTAAATAAATTAGGTGATAATTAATTGTAATAAAATCAATAAGAGTTCTTCAGGTCCATTTCTTATGCTAGAATTTCTTAATCTATGTTCCATGGAACCTCAGGATTCATCACGCATATGTTTTGCAAAACTTATGTACTTTCTTTTCATAACATTCCAGAAAGTAACTTAGCAATAAAAATTAATCCCTCTATATGATAACCTTCACTTCCATTTACTAATCTGAACAGTCAATAAAAATGTGGCAGTCCAATGGTAGAAGATATGACAGTGCTTTCAGGTCAATTTTTGGTTTCTTACAGCTGCTGTACTGCATAGTTATTTGGAATCCTGGTATCGGTGATTCCCCAGCTCACTTATTTATTCCGACACATGGGAAATATCACAGATCTAGAAAAACAGAGGATCCCAAGTTTTAAGGTTTCACAGAGGAACCCTGCGTACTTGAATACAAAAGGGTGTTACGAGTAGTCGGGCATAATATTTACTTGTCGATGTGAGTCTTATAAAATATAAATTGATAAAAAGCTTTTGGGGGGAGATGCTTATTAAAAATACCAATAAAAATTGTTCTAGTAGCCATTGCATGATTCATAGGTACGTACTTGCTGCAAAAAAATTATCCTCCAGTTATAAGATTGCTCTTGATGAGGTTTTCAAAGTTATAAAATCTCGACTCATACTTCATAGAACTCATACTCTCTCAACTTCATAGAATCTCGACCACTAAACAATTATTTATTCAAGATACTTTGTGAGAACAAGGGAAGTGCACATACATCTTTTTTTTATTATATACCGAAATCATATGGCTATCTTGAGTTAAGACACAAATCTACATTTTTCAGGTAATGGACGAATTTAGAACATAATTTTGAATTGAAAATTCAACTATTTGATAGAAATTGGCTGCTTAAAACTGCCTATTTAAGCAATATTTTTACAAATATCAATGAAATTAATTTAGCCCTTTACAGCAAACAAGATGTATTTACTGCTAAGAAAAAATTCTCGCTTTCACGAAAAATAATTTAGAAAACAGATATGCACTCAAACCACTTACAGATTTTTCCAACAATAAAAGGCTTTCCAGAAGATGAAGAGGTTGAAATAGGGAAGATATTTATTGAAGAAATTATACAGCACTTGAAATGTTGGGAGTGCAGCTTTTAATCAGTATTTTCCAAACAAACAGCAGAATAAATATCAAAATGAATTGTGGATTAAAAACCCATTTAGTGTCAATGAATGACTTTCAACCATGTCAGCAGAAAAATAAGAATATTGAAATGACATTCGATTCATCATTGCAAGAAAAATGTAAATTAATGCTATTCTGATGCAATTTAACAGATGAATATCTTCATTAATAGAAAAAGGCAGTGTTGGCACTTTTACCAGTTGCAACTACATGGATATGTGAAATGGAGTTCTCACCTTATGTGTTTTAAAAAAAGAAATGCGGCAAAAGATCTGATATCAAACTTGACATGAGAATTTAACTTCCCTCTATAAAGCTTAATATTAAACATATCTGCAAAAATAAAATTCATCTTATTAAAATTGAAATTCAAAAATCCTGTTTGAATACGTTATTTTAAGAAATTTCAGGTTAATTTTGAAATTACATTTTTAAGCAAATAAATATTACTTGAAACAAATGCAATTTTGTTGCAAATAATCCATTTACAAAATGTTACATTAAAACCATACTATTAACACTTAACACTTTCTTTTTTTCGTCATATTATGACAAAAAATAAGCAAATTTTTGATAAACATTTTTATGAAGAAATTCATTATATAAACCCAAATCAGCAGTCAGAACTCTTATAAGTGTTGAATTTATTGATTTATGCTAATTTTTTATTTTCATCACAAAAAGCACCTTTTTCCTTAAAGTTGGCTTTTTTCGAACAAGTAAGCGAACTGAAAAGAACACTTTACAAAAATAGGTGTCTAAATGTTTTATTGTTATTACATATCTGTTCGATTTCAAAGAAGAATTATTACATCAAGAAAGAAGGATTATTAATATCAAGTTCACAAAAGTTCCGAATTTGCATTAGATTATCTATACTTTCCGTTTCTTCATCACTAGAGAAGTCGAGCAACAAACTGTCATTACTTCCAGAATCATTTAGTGAAATTTCAGATTCAGTATTTGATTCAATATCAGAGTTACCTTCAGTTATAAGCTGCTCATTATCATTCATTTCTTCTTTTATTTTAGCACCAAATTTAAAAGAAATAGTATTTGCAGTAGCCGGAACACCTAGCTAGTGAAAAGAAATTTGACGCCTTTACTTGCATAAAAGAATTCAGTAAAACCTAACTTTGAAACCAGTTTTTTTTGTAATTCTAACTTTACTGGATTACTAGCGCCATCTGTTAGAAACATTACACACTAAATAAGAAAAAAATTTGGGCAAATCAGTGTATTAGACTAGAAAAAAATTTTGCCCGAGCCCCACTCGAGAAAATAAAAAAAGTGCTATTTCCAAGTACACAAAAGGCGTTCGGGCAAAACTGGGAAGTGAGCAACTTAGGGTTTCCATGAAAAGAAGACATTTAAAAGGGTTTCACTTATGAAAAAGATTAAGAAATGCTGCTTTATACCAATTTTGTCCCCCCCCCAAAAAAAATTAGCGGGCGCCGTGATGCCGCAGGCATAGCATTGGGAACCTCTGTGCTAGAACCCAAATCAGACCGATTATTGTTAATGCTAGTTAACTACTTATATTTAATAATGTGTTGCATTCTTTGGAAAATATTATTTATGTACACTAACGATGGATAGCTCAAACAGAAGTGAAGTAAAACATGTTCCCATTGTAAGATGCTTCAGTCTGAAGGAGCCTCCAGACAGGAAATTTCAATGAAGTGTCAGGTGAAACTGCTCAAATTTTGACTCAGTATCTCTTTGCAGCATGTGAAAAAATACGAACTTGAAGAAAAGTTGGTTTATTATACTGTAATCACTAACGTAATTTTGGGGGTGTGAAGAGAAAGGGGAATGAAAATTTGTTCAGAAAAGTTCCAAGTGATATAGATAGACTTATTTTAGGAATTGGTTGTTCAGCCCACACTGTAAATAATTCTGTACAAACAGCATGTAATTCTCTACACCTGGACATAGAAGTTAATGTCATAATTCATAATTATTCCCATATATATACATTAAAAGTAACAAACATTAAAGAATGTGAATTTTACAAAAAAATATCATATCATATCAGTACTTAGTTCCTTATTTTGTTACCTGCAATAGAAAAAATTCTTTTTATTTTCAATTGCCTAAAATCATACTTCTTATCTTGTGACAAATGCCCCAAAAAAAAAAAAAAATACGTTGATTTTTTTTAAATCTAAAAAGTGAAATGTGTTTGAAATTTTTTTATGGTACTCTATAGTTATTTAATAATGCAGCTCTGAAATTGGAAGTTAATTCTGTCACAGCAACAGAAGCATTTCAGACATATACTGCATTAATTTATCAACTTCGGAAAAGATAAACGAACAAATTTATGCCACCTTCTGCCAAAGAATTGCTATGTACTAATACTAAAAGAAAATAATAACATTCAGGAATAAAAATTCTTCTTAGGTGTAGACAATCTAATTCTTCATGTATCCAATTAGTAGATGATGTAGAGTTGATGAGAACCAGTTTTGATAAAGTCAGTTAAGTTTCAGTGGATAAATTTATGAACTGATATTGCCAGGTCTGATTTAGAACAGAGGGCACGAGTTGTTAATGAAATTTTAAAAAATTCCATAAATATTGATGACTTCATTGATGAAAGTACATTGCTGAAACAGGTAATTCAAGACCAAAGGGTAGATTGTGATTCAGGTTCTGAAAAGTACCAGATATGACTGAAGAGAAATAGAAAGCAATTTTTAAGGTGTTTCAAAAGACTGATATTTCACGCTGCAATATTTCTAAAAATGGTTGAGTTTGCATAGTAAAGTATACGAAACTTTAAAAAATAAATATTGTTAAAAATAATGGATTAATTTTTTGTTGAAAGCGTTGTTTTTTAAGATGGCAGGCAAATGTAAATAAATGCATTTACTATGAGTATAAAATAGTAAGGTTAAATTAGTACTTTCATATAGCAAGGAAATAGAATAAAAACACTGCTGTAAAAACATTGCACCAAGGTTTAATTGGATTAAAATATTACGTAAATTGAATATCAAATTAAAAACCATCATACCAATGTTTAAAAGAATTAAGATATTACTTAAATTCAAACACTTTAAAATAAGTAAATAAGAATGCTTCGTATACTAAAGCTAAAATGACAGCAGTTAGTTTATTGCCGTTAAAAAAAAGGAGGAATGTCTAATACTTTATCATTATAAATTAAGTTGATATTGGATATCTGAATTTTAAAAATAATGAAAAAAAAAAAAAAAAAAAAAAAAAAAAAAAAAAAAACCACTTAATTTATATTTAATTTTATAATTTGTAAATATTAATAAAAAATTATAAAAAAATTAATTATTTCTTACTTTTACAAAATACTTAAATCTTCTGACTGCTCTTTTTTTTTTTAAATCAAAATCACTTCAAAAATTGCAAATTTTTTGTTACACACCTCAAATCTACATTGTATTTGATAGTTAAAACATGTAGCAATGTGTTTATAAAAATTTTATGCATAAGAACAGGCTTTCATAAAATTAAATTTTAAGAGTAACCATATAAAGAAAAAAATTCTGAAAGTAAACCTTGATTGAATTATGATTTACTTCATAGAATACAAATGCAAAGTATGTGTGCTAGTGAAATATTCAATATTTACACAAATTATACTAGAAATTCAGTGTGATAAATTTCAAAATAAATTTGGAGGAAAAGTCCTACCTTTATATTCTTTGCAGTGAATTTGTGTTTCTTTGTGATTCCCCTCCCCACAAGTCGCAGGGTTTATTTATTTATTTATTTAAAGCAACAAACAGCAGACTGTATGCAATTTTTTTTCTTTTTTTGGTGCAGTTGGAGGTATGTGGCTTGCAAAATCAAAGACAGCTATCAATGGAGAGCTGTCTTGGGAGAGGAGCTGTCAATTTCAATGAGTTGAGAGTGGAACTACATATTTTCAGGTATACTCAAAATATATTCGAAAATTTAGGCGACAATAATGCCATCTCCTGACCAAAACACAACTCAAAGTCTAAATATTGTAGAAAATGTATTATGGACAGTTATATGGTAGATACATTTTTAAATACAGGAGGAAATTACATATCCGCAAAAATCATCAGATGAGTAAAATTTTGATACTTTTTGTTCCTGTGCAAATTGAAGTGTAAGCACTCGGAGCATTAATGAATTCTAAAATGATAAATCTGTACCCATATATATATATATATATAACTTTCTGAAACCATCACATTTATGACATCAAATAAATCTAACACATTTTGAATTTTCATGAAAGATACATTACATTTTAAACTATCAAAATTTAACATTTAATACACCAACCAAAAAATGAACTATATCAGTGTAACAAAATAATGCACCATAACTTCCAACACTTACCCTGTATTTTGCAGTAAATTCTTTTTTAAAATTAAGTTCACGATAAGCATCTGAAGACACCCTTGAAAATAAAATATTTAGAAGATCAGAAAATCGTTGTAAGCCTGCACCTTTTGAACTCCAGATATTTACAATATTTGATGAATGATAAAGAATTATCTTATCCAGTAATTCCAAAACTACATCTTTTCTTTGTGGAGTTATTTCAACTTTAGAAAGAATCTATAAGAGAACAACAAATTGAATAAAAAGTAGACAACTCAGTATATGCAAAATTTGTAAAAAAAAAGGGGGGGAAGAGGTTGAGGGAAATGCCAATACAGCTATAAGTTTATTCTTAATGATTAAAAATGTTTAGTTAAAAGCCTAATTTACATTTTGCAGCTTGCATCAATTTTTCATTCATGCTATTAAAAAAAATGTTTAACTATTTAAAAAAAACATCATACATTATAAATAATAATAATCATAGGACTAGTATGAAAGAACAAAGAAAATAAAAGTTTCTTAACATATTAAACTACAGCATTCTAATTTCTAACAAAGATATCTGCTAATATATTACAGAACTTTTAATATTTTCAATACAGAACACACAAGTTAAAAGAAAGCAAGAACTTTACATGAAAAAAAAATTAACACCTTCATTAAAGGGTTATTATTTTCCTTATGCAAATTTCATATCATAGCAAAGTACAAATTGTTACCACTTGTGGGAAATATTTATGCAAACTTCACATACCAGTTATTAAGGAGGGGAAAGGCTATGCCTTGAATGATTACATTCTTATGAAATAAGAACAAAACCGTTTAACTTTAAGTAGCATTAATTTATAATTAATAATTTAATAGCCCCATAAATTACTACTCCACACTATTAATTTATTATGTTATTACTATGTTAATGTTAATTTACTATGTTAAAATAACATTTCAGCCATTTTTGCCCCTCTACCATTCGACATTCTTATTTTTGAACATCTAGTTTTAAAAATATGATTTTACATTCAGTATCTTGAATTTCTATTCTTAATAATTCTTAGGATTGTAAACCTAAAGGAACTCTTTAGTAAAAAATTGCTTTAAGTACTAAATTGAAATCTGAATATGCAATTTTTTTAAAACAAAAATTAAGTTACATTATTTTTGAATTTTTTTTAAATCAAATAACTATCATAACTGTTACAATAATGTTACAATTTTCTTCAACATACCTCAATAACATAATCACCAGGTTTTGATCCATCTTTTGAAGAACATTCAGAAACTGCTTTATCAAGCAGTTCTTCTAATTCACAAAACATAACTTTCAAAATGGAAAGATCAGTCAAAGTAAAATCTGGAGCTCCATTATCCAAGCTAGAGAAATCTTTATTATCATAATCTTTCACCAACTGCATCGTTTGTGTCACCTAAAAATTGATGAAAGGCAATATTTAATGTTTTCCCTAATAATTAAGAAATTTCAATATACACATTTATTTAACTTACAAAATAGAATAAAGAAACTTCTAATTGCAACTCAACTTCCATATTTTAATTTTCAGATATTAATAAGCTATAACAGTCACATTACCTCAAAGAGTTGTTTACTTTTTTCCATATTTTACTTTGCTCCCCCCCAAAAAATGATAAAATGAAAAAGAAGAAGGGTAGTTTTATTAATTAGCAATAAAAACGAAAAGGAAAACTAAAAAATCTGAAAGGTTTCAGGTTTTAAATTATGTCCAAAGGGTGTTTTTTTTAACCTTTTGTGTGTTACCTTTATTTATTAAATAGCATGTTCTACGAGCTCAAACCATAAAATTCAGTTCCACAGCAATATCGCAAAATAATTTTAAAATGAGCATATCTTTAGAATTTCTGATACGGATTCTCGCACACTGGAGATAAAAATGTTTTTTCGTTCAGTGTTGCCATTGCTTGCTTTGAAATCGTTTAGTATTTTAATCAAAAAATTCTTGAAGTTTTACAAAATATGAAATCGATAATAAAACCAATTACAAATTCAAATTGGAGCTTCCACATGCCCATATTCTATGGAAGATTACATTATTCAAATTTTGATGGCTCTAGGTGCTGTTGTTTTATCACAATGCGAGAAACATACATACAATCATGCAGATCCTTCATTATTTAATTTCTTTAAATATAATACAGCGCGATAATATTTGGTGGCAACAATTTAAAAGTGATTCGCCATTTATAGTTTTGAATGCAAAATGACAAAACAATATTAATAGTCCTTCAGGACAAATTGCCTCTTTGGACTAACAATTCAAAATTATTTTTATTTAAAAAAGAAGTTTGAAATGCATATGACTTACAGTTAATTTTCCGCTACTAAAAAAAACTTTCAATTTACGAATCATATTTATATGCAAATGAATATTTCTTATCATAAAAAAATACTTTCTGATATAAGAACCCCCTGCAATGCAATATGATGTCAAAATGGTTATGTGGCAACCTAAGTATGATCATAGCACATGCCTATTTAAGTAATGAGGATTTATAATTTTGAAATTAAAACATCACTTTTCTGATTAGTTAGGTATCTTTTTAACTCTACTCAAATTTATTATGCTGCTATGAAATTGTATATATGTAAATAATTTTAATGAAATTATATGCAGGCTGTAGTATTTCTTGTATATATGAATGTCTCAGAATGTGAAGATGTGAGGCACTGCCGGAAAACCAAGATTAACAAGCAAGTCCATTTAAGACTGAGATAAAAGGTATGTAAAACTGTTGTTGGCTTTGGCGAGAAATCACCAAAAATCACCAGAGTTGGTAAGCATTTGGGAAAATTTTGTTTTGATTGCTTTGTAACTATAACTGGTCCAATCCCTATGTAACTGTAACTGCATCCGGCCTTATGTAACTGTAACTCTGTATGCCTTCCAGCAATTTCGAGAAATCTGAAGTATTGGAAATTTCTCGGCAGATGGGGAAAAACTACAGGGTAATCAAAAATGTTCTTGCCCTTTCTGATATGACATTGGAAGAGTGAACCCCAACGTAAAAATAGTCGCTAAACCTGCCGATGAAGTGGTTAGGATGGGAGTACAGATATTGACAAAGAGTATGTAAGTGTGTTGTGTCGGCACTTCAGACATAACTCACACAGCGACTGATTTAAATGGATGCGTCAAAGGCACTCGTTTGGTGTTGCCTGCTATATGATTTTAAAGTGGGCCTGTCAGCACCAGAATCAAGTTGCTGAATTTGTCAGGCCTTTGGGGATAATGCCGTTTAACGAACGAACCACTAGGCAATGGTGGCAGAAGTTCAGGTCAGGGGATATCTGTCAGTGATGCACCATGCAGCAGTCGGCCACAAGTGCTGGGTGATGAGGCCCTGAGAGCAACCATAGAAAGTGACAGTAGCCAAACATATGGTGAGCTTGTTGCACACTTCCAGGTATCTGATGAAAAAATCAGACTACATTTGCACCACATAGGAAAGGCATACAAGCTGAGCAAGTGAGTTCCCCCACTCACTGTCCGGTGCAAACAAGCAACAGCATGTTGCTGCCTGTTTGTCATTGCTTACTCGGCGCTGCAATGCATCCATATTTGATTGAGTACTCACCAGCGATGAAACATGGGTCCAGTATGACACACCAAGGTGTTCCAAACATTGGTTGTCACCACGGAGCCCTGTGCCTCACACTGCGAGACCTTCTCTCCACCCACGCAAGATCATGCTCTGTGTCTGGTGGAGTAGTCACCAAGTGGTGCACTATGAGCTCCTGCCAGTGGGCCAAACCATCATGGCAGGGCTGTACTCGGAATGGTTGGGACTGTGAATCAGGTACTGATGTATATAGAGCCAGCATTGGTCAATCGTAAGGATGTACTCCTCGTCCATGATAATACGAGATTGCACGTGGCTGGGAAGGCCAGGGATACCACCCAGCTACTGGGCTGGGAGACACTACCTCATCTACCCTACTCCCCAGACCTCGCGCCAATAGACTACCACCTTTTAAATTCCCTGGACAACCATCTTCGTGGAAAATCCGTCAACAACTGGCCAGACCTCAAAAGGCCACTATGGCACCAATATGGCATCGCATAGCTGGCCACTCATAGGCAAAAGTCTTTGCATGCCAATGGTGATTACTTTGAGGATTAACAGTGATTATTATTTGTTTTATGACTTTTTCTTTTTGATTGTCCAAAATGGCAAGAACTTTTTTGGTTACCTTGTATGTAAAATCGGAGACAACATCAGTTTTCACTTTACTTCAGAGTTTAGCTCAGGGTATTGAGAGTTCCGAGTTTCAAGAGATCACTATGCAAGCTTATTCGTTTGATGCTTTTTGTATTGCCTTGTGTTCAACATTCTCAGTAGTTTTAAATGGTAACTGCTGATTGTTCTCTGTGATACTGAAAAGAGCTATACGAATACTTTTGTGTGAAAAGTTCCAAAACTGTTAAGTGTTTGGGAAAAATTAAATTTCATAAAGTCCTGTTCATCTGTTCGGTGTCCAGCATGTAATAATACCTATTTATCATAGATTTCAATTCGATAAACATTCATGCAATCAAACACAGGTCAAAGATATGAATTTTCCACCAGATCATTTAAATATATATTTCTTGAAAGATTCAAATTCTTAAAATTTCACAGTTTTTTTTTTTTTTTTTAATTTAAACATTTTTATGCATTGGTATCTTATACTTCAAAATTTGGGTAGTCTATACTTTGGGGTAGCCTTTGGATTACTGCCAAGTTGTTTCATTTAATGGTAACCTGAGTACTTTTACAGTGTAAACTTTGGAAACCCTATCATGACGTGATTGTGCTGATTTTTATTGTTATTTTTCTGCGCTGGATGTCCGTTAGGAAGTTCATTGCTTATTTTGTGCTTTGCACCATAAAATAGCTGCCAGTGGTAAGATAAACCTATTAATTAATTAAGTTTCTGTACGATTTGGAACGAATGGGAAAAAAGAGATTGATTGGTGTGTAAATGAAGGTTTAATCAGTAATTGCTGGAAGTCGTACGATTGTCTTTCTCATAATGGCTTCAACTCTCAGTAAATCATTTAAGGATCCGGAACTCTTATCAACATTACTAATGCTATGTGGGGTGTAATAAAAAGGGATTTTCAAAAGTAATGCCACCAACAGTCTGCCACTACAGAGGACATTTCTTATTTTTATTTTTCTGAATTTATGTGGCAACGGCAGTATACAGATTTTAATTCAGATAATTTTAAACAGTTTTTAGATGCTGTTAAGGAATTCTGTGTGACACGCACCAAAGACACAGAAATTTCTAAATTAAGGCAAGTTGATATTTTCTTTCTGTAAGATCAACACAGATAAGATAATATTTATTCCCATTTGTATGTTATCTCCTTGTTTTATTTTTATTAAAAATGCAGTTTATTGAGATTATACATTTTTATGTTTTATTGCTGCACTATGTTTTCGATGCCACTTTACTTAGGACAGCATTACACATAAACAGGAATGGGGCTAAAATATCGCCAATTTTCACCAAGGGGGATCCTGAAATATATTTTTCATCTAAATTGACGAGTATTTATAATATTGTTAATTTCAGAATATTCAATCTGATACAACTACTAAGATTTCAAATGTTGTAAAATATTTTACATAAAAAAAACTAAACCTCATTGATGCAGAGTGCAAGATCACTTGAGCGTAACTGGAATGACATGCTTTCTTCACAGGCACCTTCTATATTGTGAGCTTCATCAAATATCACAACATTTCCTTGTAGTTCTATCCCATGGGATCGTCTGCTTTTCGGGTCTATTATATAGTTGTAAGGTGTGAATATGATATCAGCTTTAGATTTCAGATTTCGAGCAGCATAATAAGGACATACACTATTAAAAAAATTTAATTTAAATCAAAAACCTCTTTAATAATACATGCCATATGTGTAAATACATTACTTCATTTAAACATAAATAATAAAACATATACAGTAGTTTAAAAAATTTTGACATGAACAATGAGATGGTAATAAGTTGGTATTAAAAACATTTGATTGAAGATTATTAATTAATGAATTAATAAAAAATGTTATTGCTTTCCCTTGTGAACACAGTGTCAAAATATGCGAACCTTAACTTTATAAAAATAAAATGTAAATATACCAGCTACCAGAGAATAGTATATTATATTTGGTCTAAAGGAAAGTTCTGTCCGTTTTTGGAGTAAAACAAAATATAAATTTTTCTTACCGTCAATAAACTTTATTAATCAATATAATTGCCATTATTATCAATGACTTCTTGCCAGCATGAGGGCAATTTGTATATCCCTTGTTTTAAAAATGTTGTATCTTTTGATGCGAAAAATTGAACCAGTGCTTGTTTGATAGCTTCTTCATTTTTGAATTTTTTGCCCTTCAAAAAATTTTGTAAGGGCAAAAACAAGTGATAAGCGGAGGATAAGGACAAAAACAAGTGATAAGTCTGGAGAATATGGTGAATGCAACAGAACTTCCCAACCTAGTTCTGCAATTTTTTTACGAGTCCCCAAAGTAGCATGTGGCCTGGCATCATGATGCAGTATGATGTGCTTCCTATTGAACATCGCCGGCCTCTTTTATTGGACTGTCTTTAAATTATCCAGTTGCTGACATACCTCTCTGAATTGAGCTTTTCCTTCAGTTTTGAAAGCTCATAATGTATTGGTCTTTTAATGTCCCACCATATATACAACATTCTCTTATTCAGAGTAAATTTTGGTTTACAGATGGAAGGGCTAGGTTTTCCAGGTTTTCCTTGTGATTGTTTCGTAGATAATCCACTTTTCATCCCCAGTTATCATCTGATTCAAGAAGAGATCAATTTTGTTCCTAGCAAGCAGAGATGTATATATGACGACTCGATTATCCAAATTCTTCTGACTTAATACATGTAGCACCCATTTTGAATATTTACACACCAATCCTATCTTCCAAATATGGTTTGAAATGGTCTGCTGAGTTGAGCCTTTCTGCGATCTCTGATGTTGTCAGAAAAGAATTTTGCTCTAACATAGTCTTAACAACATCATCATCGTCGTTCAAAGATGGTTGCCCAGAACGTGGCTTATCAGAAAGGTCGAAATCGCCTGTTTCAAATTTTTCGAACCATCTTCTGCATGTCCTATTGGAAACTGTACCTTCACCAAACACTTTCAATAAATTTGTACACGCTCCTGTAGTATTTCTTCTTTTTTGAAATTCATATAAAATACAGTGGTGTAAATGAACTTTATTAGTAGCCATGGGTACACTATCGCTTCACACTTAAGACTAACATGAACCAACTTTGTATCAGTTAATTTGCTACGTCAGTATATATACATTAATCGATAAAAATAGACAACCAAACATGCGCCAAATCAACATGTGCTTACGTGCTGAAAATTGTTGTCACAGAAACAGACAGAACTTTCTGGTAGACCAAATATAATCCATTCATAGAAATTTTCAAAAAATAAAAGTTTTACTATTAACTTCTTTTTAGATGACCCATTTTCCAGACTTTCTTGCATGAATAACATGTTTTATATTACCATAAAAAGCTTCTACATTTTCCTAATATTTTATCTATATTCACTCAATGCATCTATTCACCAATATGCATACTCAGCAGACATTAATATTCACTATATCCAAGTTTTGACAATAATTTTATAAAAATCCATATACCTTTCACTAGGTGTTATAAGTCAAGATTACAGTTTTATAATTAAAGACTTAAATGAAAACTAAAAGAAATACTTTTTGATTAAAACTCATACCTAACTTTGTATCTCCAAGAACATGTGGTCAAATACGACACCAAAAACTAACAACTAACTTTGTATTGTTTATAACCAATGTTGATCTTCTACTTTTAAATGCAACTGAAAGACAGTTCTTTAATTGTGATTAAAGTAATCATTCTCCTTTTGAGACAATATTTTATGTTTCGAATTTAAAGTATTCTGTAGATCTGTTGATGCATAATTATGGAAATTCAGGGCTTACAGGAACAAGTAAGTGAAGCAGTAGCTTTTCTTTTGAGAAAAATGATGTTTTGGATAAATAATCACAGCATCTGGGGGGACAAATTAAAGGAAATGCAGTATATGTCATATACAAAACAAAACTGAAGTGAGAAAAAAATAACTGCTTTGATGATAGTTGCATTCTGTTTGTTGCTAAACTCAGATTTATTTTCCAATTGAAATGAGAAAATAGCAAACTCAGAATTCCATGAATGCCAGTTAAGTATATTTCATAGCAAATGTGTGGGCTGAAATAGTTATTTGATAAAATTACATGTCAAAATGCTAAAAGAACAGTTGAAGTATAAAATAGATCTAGAGTTAATAGCTGAAGTTTATTTAGTCAAAAGGTAAATAATATAAGCATGATTTTTATCACAGCAATAAATTTCTGACAGTGTTTTAGTTAAATGGGATGTTTTGTAAACCAGTGCAGAAAGCAACATTATTCAGTACAATTAAAGATAATATTGAAAAAGGAACAATGTTTTCAGACAGTTGGCAAGCACATAAAATGGAGAAGCCAAATGATTTAAATGAACATTTCAAAATGAATCATAATATAACTTTGTTAATATATGATTCTAAGGCATATACTAAAAAAAATTAAGACTATAGGGCTTTGCAAAGCAAAGAAATAAAAAATTATAAGGAGCAACTCTGCAGAATGTAGGCAGATATTCATGTGGTTAAATCTGATAGAAAGATCCTTTAATTGAAATCTTACTTGCAAAACTTTTTTTAAATAATGTTATATACTGAATACATATTTCTGAAAATTGTGTTTTTCATATTTGCCTACATATTTTAGAAATATTTTAATAACTAAAATAAATCTATTGGTGTATAACTGCTACCAAAGCTTGCTTTTATAAATTTTTTCATCTGCCTTAAATCTTTATTCATTCATTTCTTATATTTTATTATAAGTCTTAAAAACATTTTAAATCAGTTGATTTCTAATCACCATCAAACCTTTTATCATTCTAGCTGCTGTAGCCTAACTTTTCAAAATCTAAAACAGCATCAAGCAGAGAAAAAAATCAGACAAGGTGCTGCCTTTAAGCAAAATGCACTGATGCTTTTTAATATGGACTTTCTGCATACACACTCAACACAATTCTTTCCCTATATGCACTAACAACAAATTTTGATTGTTAACAATTTTATAAAAATTCGTGCAACTATATTCAATAAGCACTGATTACATTTCTACGACTGAGGATTTTAACAAAAACTTAAAGCCATTAAAATTTTTTAGTTACATACGTGTGCTTCTTTCCTAAAGTAATTAAATCCTCTATATCTGCTATTGATGTTTCCTGATAATCAGTCTGTGAAATTATCTTTTCTTCATAATTCAAATGAAATGGACAAGTTTTGCTCTTGATTTTGGATCGACACATATACAGTTTGGTTGCATGTGTTTCCGCTTTGCTTACTTCTGGATGTATACAGAGCTGATCTCGTGAACCAAGAGCAACTGACTTCACACTGCATAGAACAAAAATAAAACTTCAAATGCAAAATATATATATATAACATCAATTCAGAAGAAAGTAATAAATAGATTTCTGATAAAAATACAAGAACATAAGGGAATATTTCCAGTTCACCTGTACTTAAATTGTATTTATTTTAGATGAATCTTCACTTAAAGATATAGTTAGCTGACTAATAATCAAACTTTTGCTACTTTTATACTACTAAATCTATATCAGCTAACTGCTGTCAAATTATTCATCCATTTATCCCTGATCTGAGAAATCAACCATATTATTACTTTAATGATAGTGGTTTCGATTAAATAGTTATATATAACTTAAAAATACAAAGAAACCTCAAATCGTAAATAAATTATCAGAACAAAAATGCTTTGGATGACGAATGGTGCCTCGAGTTATGAGCACTCAAGTCAACAACATATTATTTTTTAAAATGTTTCGAAGTAACACATGTCACTTGGTTAAAATTTATAGACTTCTGGAAACATTTTCATTTTTCTCATTGCTTAGATCTCATTAATGAAGCCTGGTGGTATGTGATTTACAGAGCCACAAATTTAGCCTGTAGAAAATTACATCCAGATTGGGTTGCTGGTAGAGCCTTTTTAGAACATTTTTTGGTGTTTATGTTGTGTCTCTAGAGAAAACCACAGGCTAGGAAGTTAACGATGATGTGGAGGACCATAAAAATGAGCTCAATAAGAAAGAACTAGAACTTCAGAAACAGCAAAAGATAATTGTGGAAGAAATGTCTTCAGAAGAAGATGAAGGAAAAAATTAATCCTAGTTTTCTAGTAAAAAAAAAAAAAAAAAAGGGAGGCAGAATTAGGTACGATATAAAGTTTTCACATATCAACCTCACCCTCACAAGGCAAGTAACAACCTACTGAATTTCAGTGAAATCACAGTTATCTCCTATGAAGGGACAGGCAATCTCGCATTCATGCAGCCTCAGGGATTTGAACTCGGGCCCTTTTGGAATGGCAGTCAGTGTCACTAACTACTTTCCCGTCTGGGCGACTCATTGAGAATGTCATGTCTCACTTTAAAAACAATTTAAAATGTAAGCAATAACAAATCATACTGGATATATTTTGAGTGAAACGGAGGCTCAATCAGAGTCGAGAGTCACTTAGTGAAAAGGTAAAACAAGACGCCCCACACAAAGTACTGTTATACAATTTTAAATGAGCAATTATGTGGGGGGTCCATGAATGATTCTATCCATTTTACTTTAACCACTTGTGGTAATAAGACGTGCCACGCACGTCGAGATGCTTTTGTCTCAAACGGCACGTAAAAATTAAAATAACGTTGTGCACACACCGCCTAACAATGAGATTGTTTATTTCTCGAGTTACAGCTTTGGATTGCACTTGCAGACGCAAAGTGGCGTAAATGAGACACTTTATCACTTGTTATATTGTAGCGCACTGCACCACGACCGTGAAGTTTAGTTGTAGCGCAAATGGTTAATACCTATTACATTAATTCCAGCTGATGAAGAGCTTTCATGAATGAATTAAATTCATGAATTGAGGTTTCATTTTACTACATCTTATCTTGAAAAATGAATACTTTTCTAAAGAAGGTTGTTTCTGATTCATAGTACGCTAAAGAAAAAAACACGAAAAATCAAACTCCACTAATCAGTTTTATTTCACAAAGAAATGAGTTTGTCATAAGAAGGCTAACAATCACAATTTATAAAATTTAATATCGATATATGGCAGTATCTGCTAAGATCATGCCTTTCTCTGGAAATGTTTACACCCTCAAGTAGTAATTAACACATGAATAAGTATTTATTCGGCATGTTATTGTGTCTTAACATGAATAAATGCTTAATTAACTAATTAGTAAGAGTGATTTCTAGCAAATTTATATGTTTACTTCTCCTTGCAAAAGGAGAAGTAAACATATAAATTCTCCTTGCATTAGGTGTTTTCAGTTGTTCATGACTGAGGAATAAAAACGATTAAACTGTGTGATGTTCTATGAAAGAAACAAGATAATAATGTATTATTTTCAGTGACATGGAATCAGAATCAAAAAAGAAAAAGGGAAAAGCTACAAATTGACAGTGATACAAAATTTTTAACTGAAAAAAGAACTGCTCATTATTGATATAAATATACTTAATTACTCAAATGACATTTATCATTAATATACTTTTCAAAATAATCAGCAAATATATTTTAAAATTTTTCTGTTATTTACAGATTTAATCATATTAGGAATTAATGCACTTTCTGATTATCCGCAAACCCTCTCCCGGAAAGTTGCAAACCACTGGCATCTAATTTTCATCAAACTAACATACAAAAGACAATACCCAGTTTTAAAATGGCAGTGTATAAGGAATTAAATAAAACAACAAATTAACAAAATTAAAATATAAGAAAACTCCATACTAAATTATTTACCCATTTCCTTCTCCTTTTTATGTTGTTCTTTACATGTACACAGTGATCAGTTTTAGCTTCGAAAAACATTGGAGAGTTACAGAAACTCAGTATCTTGCATAATGTGGCACTGCACATACTTTCATTCTTTCTATAAACACAGCAAGCTGTTTTCACTTTAAAAAAAGTCAGAGAGTATAAATTTAACATCGATACACAAATTTTGATCCATAAAATTCTATTGCTTACAAAACATAATTTCGTGAAATGCAAATTTTTGCATTCGCTACTGTTGGACAAAACATTGTATTTCTAAAGAAATGCAAAAATTTCTTTTTCATCAGCCAGCAAATTCCACAGTTCCATTATGATTCCTTAAAAGAAGGGAAAAAATGCAGCTGAATGTAATAAAAACAAACATTAATCAGAAAAATGATTGCCAAACTGGAAAGCAAAAATCAGTTCTTATCTGCTTTATGTCCGCAGATATCTGGGTTGCCAGTTGCCAGATAAATCCATTTTGGCAATATCATGGGTTGCCTATTTAGGTGACATAATGCATTCCCTCGTGCATACTTTTCGGGAGACTGTGAATAATCATAAAGTATCAAAATTAAATATAATTGCCGTTATTAATTTTCTGCCCATGTGAAAATCTGATGCCACTTAACATCAATAAATCTTACAGCATCAAGAGATAATACACATATACACATTTGTATTTATATACTAATATGAACAACTACTCATACTTCTGTACTTTATCAGCGCACCCACCTTGTCACAGTTTAGGGATTTTTACAAAAAAAAAAAAAAAATGGGGATTCGGTGAATTTTCGGGTTCCAACTTACAATGGATATGGTTACTCAAGAACTGTTATGTACATGGTTGACAGAGTTTGGCGACTTTTACTAAACTGGTTGAGGTAATACTTAAAGATCTCATATTTCATTGCATCAAATCAATACATACTATAAGATGCAAGAATGGCAATTTACAAAAGTGCAAAGAAAAATTTACAAAACGTAATAAAATCTCCTAAAAGTTGGAGTTTAGAATTCACACACACAGACTTAGTCTCCTAAGTAGCAATTACATTTAGAAATAACAGCTTTTTTTTCCTCACAAAGCTTACTATTATAACACTCTTTCGCAAAAAAAATCGAAGCACCAAGAAGGACTTTTGCAATCGTGACGAAATTTGGTATGCTAAAACATCTTGATCGAACATGCAAATGATCAAAGTTTCAAGGCAAATGAACAGGAATTGCGATTACAGCACTCATTTCTAGTGCACAATTCGCAAAGTATAAAACTAGTAATGGCTCCCAGATGATGTTTGCAGCGTCATCTGTGACTTGTCTGAGGTGGAGTCACTTTAAGATGTTTGCCTTTGACTCCACAATATCGGTGGAGTTGTCTGGAGTGGTGTCGCAGCCGATCATCATGGCTGCCATCGTATAGTGTTCAGCAATGAATACCGCTTCACTCTTGAAGCAGATGACTACTGTGTATGTCTGAAGAGGACAGAGCCAGCAGTCCTAGCCTTTGTTTTACAATAGCATACAGCCATAATCCCTGGTGTGATGGTGTGGAGAGCTATTTCTTATGACAGCAGGTCATCTTTAGTCATCCTCCGTACATCTTTAACAGCTCAACGATATGCTGATACCAACTTTAGGCAGACTGCATTACCCTTCCTGGCACGTCATCCTGGAACCATTTTCCAAGAAGATAATGCCAGGCCACATACCATTCGCATATCTTTGGATTGTCTCCGTGCGGCTGATACTCTTCCTTGGCAAGGAAGGTCACCAGACCTTTCACCAATCGAGCATGTCTGGGGCATAGTAGGCCGCCAGATTCGGGCGCCACAAAATATCGCAGATCTAGAGAGACAACTGATGAATGCCTGGCAGAATGTGCTGCAGGATGACATTAGGAACCTCTACCACTCTTTGGCTTGACAAATTCAAGCATGCATTGTCGCCAGGGGCGGTTCGACCAACTACTAATTTGAACACTCGATGGGTGATTGCGAGACATGAACAAGTACTATGAACTTGATTTTTTAATCATTTTATTATCTGTGTTTGAGCTATACATATATTCAATTTGATCAAAAACAACCACTTTCTTCATGGTCCTTCAATTTTTTTAAAAAAGATTGTATTTTACATAACATAAAAAGTTTAATGATAAATTTACTGCAATAAAAATATTTTCTCGGGGATCTGAAAAACATAACTAGTACTAAATAATGAAGATTAAATATTAAATTCAGCACATTTAAAACTAAAGTACCAAGCTTAGTAATTTAATAAGTACGATGCTTAATGTAGTATTTTAATAAGCACAATGTTCAGTTTAAATTTATAGATATTAATATTGAATCTGTAAAAGAATAATTTATACAGCTTGAAATAACAGAAAATTATTTTAGTTACAGAAAAAAGGAACAGTAGAATGAAGGTTGATTGTTTAAAATATTATGGCAAAGTACTCGAAGGCTGTCTGCTTCAGGAATTGTATATTGTATTGTGAAAGGCTTTCAAGTGAAACTAGACTGTAATGAAAGTGCAC